ATGATCAATTTTTTTGCAAGTCGATATTATAAAAGAGCTTTTAAAGTTAAAAATAACTTCAACATTAATGTTCTCTTTTTCTGTCAGGTTTCTCGGATAAATGCGGACTGCGTTGAAGTATTGATATAATTGAACGTCTTTCTAAAAAGGTTTTCTCCCTTAGAAGTTTAGATGCAATACTATCTAGAGAAAATTTCTTAAGAACATAAAGGAAAACCTACATTATAGTGTGGAAACTATTGCATCGCTTTTTCATTCACCATGGGCTATCAATAATGTTTCAACTGTAAAGCAAATATCACTAGCAACGAGAGTAGAAAAAGCGAACAGTTGATTTAATTTCATGTAAAAATGTTACGAACCGCCGCCGTTATCTAAGTTACACTCGGAACCGGACGATATATATTTGGGATGTCGGAAAACACATACAAATGATATTCTGAGGTCTCAGATCGTTGAACACAACTGACAATCTCGTTAAAACAAACCTTTGAGGGCGAATCTTAGTAATATATTTACGAATTTTATGTAGGTTCATATACATAATTATAATACTAATAATTGCCACTATAATTTGGGTTTCAATCTAGTAATCTATGTTTGAATGAACCTAATTAAAAACTTGACTACGAAGATCGTGTCATGGAAGTTACGAGTAACAATTATTTTGTTCGATTCGACCATCTATGGTAATTTACACCGGTACATGATAGAACTGGCAACAAACGTTGTTATTATTTTAATATGTTTTGATTACACTATTTACAATCATTGTAACAATCATATCAATCAAACAGTATAAAGTATATAGTAGCCAGACGATACGCTGATCGGGTTACACTTCCGTAACACAATTTTTGAAAAAGATTGAGAGGAATAGAATAAAACGATTAAAAGATTTAACAATATTCCAAGAGCTTTGAAAAATGAACTTGTGATTTGGCTTGGACGACCCGATTGGCAAAGGGAATAATGAACCTGACATAAGATGACAAAGCGTGTGGGTTCGATCCCCAATACTGGAAAAATATTGTGTGATGAATATAGTATTTTTCCAGTGTCTGGGTGTTTATTTATTTATTTATTTATTTATACAAAAAAAATTTGCTTAGTTTGAGACTGGGGAACGTTGTGTAAAATATGTGCGAAAAAATCTATATTTTTTTTTATTGACTACACTTTAGTTTACTTTGTGATGACTTGACATTAAAGAGTTTTGCACATGGCGGCTGACAAGGCCCGAAATCGCTTTAAGCTTGGCCCGGCACTGTAAAAACTCTCCCCCTTTTTTGTCAGATAGCACGCGCGCAGTCGACTCGTACCCGCCCCTAAATCAAGTGAACGCTCCATGAGCACTCATAATAGTTTGCGAGAGAGAGGGCGGGCGGTTTTGATGAACAGCTTTTTGTTTGGGCTTGATATACGAATGTTATTTTCCCGTGAACGCTTTGAGATATTCAGGGGAGCTTGTTAAGTTTGTCTTTATGTGGGGGCGATATTTTCGCGTGTGCTCTTTTGTTTGTTGAAGATTAAAATGTTTGTGCTCATAAACATTGGGTAATTTGATGATGGCAAATGCGATAAAGCCTTTGCTTTGCCTCTTTCTTTAGCTTTAGAGGCTATTGCCTCTTTCTTCAAAATATTCACAGCCGTTGAATGTGAAATCAACTTATGATTATCGCCTTAATGTCCTGAAACGTCCTTGACGCGGTTTTTCCCAGCTGGTTCCTAGGAGCTCATGCTGATCAATTTTCGCCAAATCAATCCATTCGTATATAGGTGGACCGTCCAGACTTATCTTATCCTGCGGAGTTCGTACTGTTTATTTATATAATGACTTGATGTACTCCTTGTTCTTTTGGAATTTCGGTCGCGGTATAGTTAATTCAAGTCATCATTGTAAATGTTACAAACCTAGCTAAAACAATACGTAAAAATCTAGCACAGTAGAACTGTTCTAAAACCAGTAGCGTTCAATTTATTCATTTTATTTTGCCTATTAATGGTATCCAATAATAAGATTCCGTAAAGTAACGGTGACTAGAAACAGCATCATACATGCATTGTGGGTGCGAAAAATATTTACAAATCTCACACTCATTGCATCACCGTCATTATGCAATTGCGCCAATATCTGCTAAGGCAAAGATGAAACAAACACCCATTTAGCCGTAATACGACTTTAGTTGAAATTTTTTTCATATCATGTAATATACAAGTAATTTATTATAAAAAATGCATTTAATGTCTATAAAATAAAAGATGGATTTAATAATGACTTGATGAATTTTTCTGAATTTGTTTTAAAAAAAAATTTCTCTTCGGAACCCACTTCAAATATCGTTTCGATTTATTTGAATTTGTTCATCGATTCACCCTATGCCTGAAACTCCCATTCGAATATGTGTTTGGAGGTGTTTTTATTATTTTTATAGCAAACGCTTAGATACATAATAATATATTTAAATGACGAGGACACTTTATGGAGAGCAGGGGATGTAGTAAAGTTTTACTTGTTACATTAATAGTTATTAATACTTTCATTAATAGTTACTTTACTTATTACTATTCATATTTTTTCTACACCAATATTTACATTATCAGTACAAGGTATAAATAGTCGTCCTGCTGTCTGTCCGTGCCTCTGTATGATCTTTAGATCTTTAAACTACGCAAAGGAACTTGATGCGGTTTTTTTAATAGATAGATTTAAGAGGAAGGTTTATATTTATCATACATTCCACCAGTGCGAGGCCGGGGCGGGGAGCTAGTCTTCTATAAAAATGTATTTTTTTACGATTTTTACTCATCCGTAAATGTGCGGGAACTCGGGAACACTAATACCGATGACAAATTCTCTTTGTTGCACGTTCATAATTCGTGTGGCTCTTTGGGACGTACGCATATGTGAATATTCGCGATATTCCAATATTGCGCTGATGCAGTAATCCGTACAATGCGACGTCCACAGCCTCTATTGTGTCGTACGCTGGGTCATATGCGGCTGTGCATGGAGAATAGACAGTGCAATAAAACACGTTTGTAGCAATAGCAAGGGATCAATGCTTTATGGGATACCTAATAATGTTCATGCATCTACCGGCTATGAATACGGTTGATTTTAATGTCAATTTTTTTTCTTGTGACTCATTTTTTCAACATTTAGTATATTTTACAGCGTTTATAGCCACGGGAAACAATGAGGTGTTTGAGTATCGCAATTGTTAACGCATATTTAAAAAAAAAAACGGCCAAGTGCTAGTTGGACTCGCGCACGATTGATTCCGTACCGTTATCAATAAAAACGGCAAAAAAAAAAAATGTCTGAAATAATGTCTAATGAATATAGGAGCTTAAAAATATTTAAGTGGGGCCCATACAACAAACAGCATTTTTTTTTTTTTTTTTTTTTTTTTTTTTTTAGCATTTTTAGGCTCCCTTACAACAGACAGTAGTTTTAATTTTCATTATTTTTTAGTATTCGATGTTATAGCGCCAACAGAAATACATCATCTGTGGAAATTTCCACTGTCTAACACGTAAAATGGTTCATGAGATACAGCCTGGTGACAAACGAACAGACAGACAGCGGAATCTTAGTAATAGTAATTTTACCCTTTTGGTACGGGACCCTAAAAATATGTTATTTAAACGTTTATTATGTATGATAAATTAAAATCGTAATAAAATGGTAGTTTTGTTTTAAGTTTTAATTTAAGAAATCTTAAATTTGTTTGTACTTAAGATTAATTATCTGAAATATTTAAAATTTCTTATTAATATCTTCCTCGTTGTTGATAATGTTGGCTTAACAAACCTAAACGAATCTTCATTCAAACTCCAGTAACTTTGTATAAATATTTCCGATTGCTTCTGTGATTTTAAATTTTGATGCAATTTAACGAAGTGCTTATTGAATTTACTGCCGCGTAGCTTATTTGCGGAGCGTAGAGCGCCCTATGTATTTACCGGCTCCGTGGTCTGTGGTGGTGGTAAGGAAGTGCTCTCCCGATGTTTCACTTAAATTTAGGCACTCCTGTATTATATCTAGGTTTCTAGCTAAAGTGTGAGCAGTTATAGTTACGGTAAAATAGTCTCGCGATTCTATAGACTTGTCAGGAATTTCTATGAGATATTTTTTATGTCAGAAGGTGGTAAGCGAGCTAGCTGTTCACCTGACGTTAAGTGATGACCTCCGCTCATGACGACACCATCATACGCAACAACTGTAGGATTGGTTGCAGATGTGTTGAAACCTTATAATAAAGTGGGCCCCGACTACCTTAACCTCGCTCACCAGACGAAATACAGAAGTATAACACTTCCACCTCACTCCGGTCTGCTGTGAGGTCAAGGCTTACACGGACGGACCGGTTCTATCGTTCAACAGCGATGACTTTCGCGAGGCCCTACCACATATAAAAAGATTACTAATTACTTATTATTAATTAATTTGACTTCTTGATTTTACGCGATTATTATATCTATGTATCGTAAATACATACATATACATAATAAATAAAGAGCTCTTTTTAAATACTGAGATTATAGAGGGATTTCATTATATGCACTTAATATTCGCTCTGGATTCGGCAAATGTCTATGGTTATATACACAATGCGTGTATCAATAAAAGCATTGTATATACGACTGAAATTATTCCATAAATTTCGGATTAGCCTACAAAACACGCGATCGTTGTGTGCGAAGAATCCCATTCATCTTTCGCGTTGACAGCTCAATGCACTTCTCACGGGTGGACGTGAGACGATGGACGCATAAAAGGACGAAACTGATGAATCGGGAGCCCATTCTTTCTTAGCCATGAAAGCACGCAATGGTTTCCAAAAAGAAAATTGGTCCGTCCTCTCAGCTTTTAATCTTAAGGATGTTTTACCAATGGTGGACCATTAACGAATGAAGTCTGATGGTCTTTAATCATTTATACGTAAGCTCTCGTATTATTTCTCGCTACTGAAATATACAGAGACGGATAGTAGATGGGAAAGGTGAATTGGCGCTTGTATGTAAGGGTTTTTTGCAAACGAGTAAGCCGGATAACGGGAAAACTTGTTAGCGCCGCCCTCTGTCATACGAACTTGGCGCGGCAACATCATATACACAAGACCAAGTATTCTAAGTTTTTGACCATTTTGTACAAGCTACTGTAGAATACTATATAATATTAAACTGTATTGTATATATTGTGTATATTGGTAGTATTTTTTAACTACCAATATTTACAATACTAACTGCCTGGTTTCTAAAACCCTGATCATTGTATAAATTAACTAATCAGCTGTCAAATGGCTTTTCAAACGTCATTTAAGTTGCCAAAAAGATGTTAAACTCTTGAAAGTTAAAGTAAGAAGTTAAACTCTTTGAATTGATCATTCTGATCGTTAAGATTATCATTCAAAGTCAAAGTCAAAGTATATTTATTCAATATAGGCCTAACTTAAGCTCTTATTGAACGTCAACAAAAATCTACCACCGGTTCACTAAATTAGACCTGCATAGAGAAGAACCAGCAAGAAACTCTGCGGTCTTGTTCTTTTTGTTATATATATTTTTTTAATGCAATTATACACACTTATTTGGGTATAAAATCAGCAGCAGCCATGGGTCTTGCAAGTGCAGAGCAAGAGTCATTTCCAAACATCCTTGTCCTCTATGTATTCTTGGATATTATAGTAGGCCCTTGCCATTAAGGTAGCTTTTACAAACTGTTTGAAATTGTTTATACTTAGTTGTTTGTGGATGTCACCTATTTTATTATAAAAGTTGATGCATCTTCCAAGAAACGACTTTCTGGTTTTAGCCAATCTAAACCTCGGTACTTCCAGAGCGTCACCACGGCCCCGACGCGATGTGGATTGTTTATTCGTAAATATGTGGATATTATTACATACATACATGATGTTCTCAAGTATGTAAAGCGACGGGAGCGTCAAAACGTTTATTTGCTTAAATATATTTCGTAGCGACTCAAGTGGACCCAAGCCATAGACGGCCCGTATAGCCTGCTTTTGTAATACAAATATTGTGTCTAGACCGGATGCGGAATCCCAAAGTAAGACACCATAGGACATTATGCTGCTATGTGTTCATTCTGATCAATTCAAAGTTTAAAGGCATTTGGCAGCAGATTAGTTAATTTCTACGATCATTAGTGTTTCAGAAACCGGGCGTAAATCTAACTAAATTCAATATTAACTTATAACCATAGTCCACGCAGCATGGCGCTAAGAACGCTATTTTCAACCGACTTTTAAAAAGGAGGAGGTTTCTCAATTCGACCGTATATTAAAATATGTAGTAAAAGTGCGAAAAGATTGTCGCCGCTGTGGGAATCGAACCCACGTCTTCGGCATTCGCGGCCTGACGCTCTAGCCACTGAGCTAGACGGCTGATTACCACACCGAAGAAAATCTTAACGCATTCCTCTACATTGTTTTCTTAGCATTTGATCCTCTCATCTTAATGTTCAATCTTAAGTGCAAAGATTAGCACTATAAACAATTTATTTCGACCGTATATATATATTTTTTATTATGTGTGTTCGTGGATAACTTAGTCGCTTATGAACCGATTTTGATGATTCTTTTTTTGTTGGAAAGGAGATATCCCAAGGGTGGTACCATGATAAGGAATATCAAATCTGATGATGGCATCCTAGAGAAATCGAGAGCCATCATAGAATGTTATAGGTATTAACAATGTTTTTAATTTTCTGATTGAAGTCGGTTTTTTTTTGTTAAAAATTACACTAATTGTTATTAATCCCAAGATATATATCTTTTCTGAGTCAGTTAATATTTCGGCTTCTAATTGAATTCAGTGCTGCAATTATATTATATAATTATATTTTTGTAAAGAACCAAATATTGCCTAATCGGCTAAAGACATCTAAAGGACCTGTCCATTCGTGCACCAGCCGAAGCTGTTGCGTGGTTTTACATCCATTAAACGCAGAGTACGCAAAATTTCGTAGCATCCACGGAATACCTTATGCGCAGTGACCACGTTTGTGTGTTATTTTATTTGTTTGCTAGTAGTAGTGATTATAGTCCTCGTGACGCACTTACAACTTGTGTACGCGGTGTACTCGTTTCGTCATGCCCGTAGACGTTTCCAAATGCTGCCAGGATAGAAAACCTACGCGTCCAAACTACGTGTGAAATTCCTGACGTCTTATCTCCTTTTTATTTTGCATTTTTGCTACCGTTGTTTACAGCTGCTTGCCGCACTTTCAACAATTTCATTTTTGCTATGAATATTCGAAAACTGTAGATCGATCAATTCGTTCATTACAGCGGCGTAATATTCCACGACAGTTTCATCTGCGCATTTTTGATTTTCGATCTTAAGCGCAGAGTCTAGCACTAGAAAAAAAAATGTCAATTCGCTGTTAGGACAGTGACTAAACGCGTGTATGTTTGTTCGCAGGCGTTGCTGCAGGCGCACGACGTGGTCGCGCGCGAGGTGTACGGCGAGGAGTCCCTGCGCGCCTCTCCGCCGCCAGTCAACGGGCGCACCACCGCCCAGCCCGCCGAAGAGGACGAGGACACCGAGCCGGAGTTCGAGAACGTGACCAGGGTGCGCCTCGTGCAGTTCCAGAAGAACACCGACGAGCCAATGGTGAGCGGACGATCTCTAAATGCGTCTCTTTCTCTTTCTCATTCCCATTCTCTCTTTCTCTCTCTCTCTCTCTCTTTCTCTCTCTCTCTCTCTTTCTCTCTCTCTCTCTCTCTCTCTCTCTCTCTCTCTACTTGCATAAAAATATTTCTAGACTACCTAATTGTATCACTATTTATGTTGTTCTCATTATATTCATTAGTATGTTGTTAATAGCCCTGCTATTAGACTAAAATGATTTATCCATTGGCATTCATTAATCACGAAATGTTAATAGTTATCTTTTAATATGATAAACAATAATCTTCTACGTCAATGGTTTAACATGATATTTTTATGTTTGATGACTATACATAAAACTCGAAAAGAAGAAATGGAAATTGTTTTACAGGTACCGTACAGAAATACATTGAAAGATAAATATTATGTTGTGTAAAAGCCTGAGTAGACATAACCATCCTCTAAACTAAATTGGACACTTGAATCCGGTGTTGAATTCGGCTTGATCATCACCCTCTGAACTCAATTTATTTGTACAAATGACTCCGGAGCTGAATTCGGCTTTCCCGACCGGAGCTTTTGCCGTTTCAGGGCATAACGCTGAAACTGGCAGACGATGGGCGTTGCATAGTGGCCCGCATCATGCACGGTGGCATGATACACCGCCAGGCGACGCTGCACGTCGGCGACGAGATCAGGGAGATCAACGGCACTCCTGTCGCCAATCAGTCCGTCGCACAGCTGCAGCGAATGCTTGTGAGATCACCATATATCAGTGGCGTAAAAGTAACAGCCTGTACATGTCCCACTGCTGGGCAAAGGCCTCCTCTGAACAGAGTGTGTCAGGGCATAGTCCATCACGCGGCCCCACTGCGGATTGGCGGACTTCACATAGTCTTCTTTTCGTCATTGATTCGAAAATATGCAGGTTTCCTCGCGATGTTTTCCTTCAACGCTGAGCACGTGATAAAATTAACCATTTTCATTGATGCCGGCACCGGGGATCGAACTCGGGTCGATCGAGTATATTCAATTAAAGGTAACCCGGACATTGAGCTATCACGGCTCTATCATTCCTAGAGTTATTTCAAAGAGCCTGGGAAGGGCGGAATAACAATGATTAGCAGCTTTAGTGGCCTATAACTATCAACTAGATTATGTTGGTATAGTCGGTATATTCCTGCGAACTATACAATTGACAATTGGCCAATTTCTAATACCCAGAGGTTGATGCATATTTAAACTTTATTGTGTAAGCTAAATATTCACTTAGCTGTGAAACATTTTTTAACAAATTTGATTCGTCGAAGTTATCTTAATCCGAGCTCATTATTATATGTTAAACTCATTGTTTTACCATTAAATTTTACATTAAATTTTTGTCCTTGGATCAACGTGTTCATTCGTATAGCTGCGAAAACATGCAAACACTCACCAATTCCATTCCACTGCTTGAAATGAAGAAAGAAATAACTAGAAAAGAAGTAATGAATGAATTTTTCTTTGCCAGTGGGAAATCTGTAACGATTTAAATTTTTGTTTATTTGTCCATGTTGCAGTTTTTCATTTGATGAAATGGTTCAAATTGTAAAACAAATTATATTATTTTGTTATCATTTAAAAACGACTGTACTTAACTGCTAATAACTTTGTTTCGCGGAAGGTTTCATAAACATGAAATCGTGGACACATAGAATTGAAAGCTAACTACAAACCAAGAATTCCTCCTCCTTTTACATTTTTAAACATTACACATAGCATTTTCTATGTTTTAAACTGTATAGTTTTTGCTATAGAAATAATTTACAGGTACGGCCAACTTGTGAATTACTTTAAACTGCACAAGGTCTCAGTCGTAACTTAATGAAAAACTTTGCAGCGCGAAGCTCGCGGTTCGGTCACGTTCAAGATCGTGCCTTCGTACCGCTCTGCACCGCCGCCCTGCGAGGTAAGAACTAGACCTATCTGCCTCGCCGACTGATCCTTTCAAACCCCTAGATTTGTGTGTTAACTGATCGCTTTTCTATCAATTGCGTACTACCCTTTAAGAAGCAACCTTGACGATGCTAACAGTTAGTAAAGAGTAATCTCTTATGGATTGATTTATTGTTTGACTTTAGAGGTGTGTGATATTAATAACGCTTGCTTCTGACAATTGAATCGTTTGAAACTTAACGTAGTGAATTGTTACTAACAGAAAAAGAAACTACAGTGGAAAAGAGTCGACAAGCGCACATAAATATCCACAGCTAAAATGAATGCTTGTCATGAAAAGCATAAAAACAAAATTGGTCATCATAATGAACGGCGAAACAAAATAAAAATCTTTTATTTTTTCTCTCCCTCAACTAGCTATTCCGGATAAAGCCTTCGCCCGTGCTAGTAAGTAGCTGGAACCAGAGCAGTCGCTACTTTATGTTATTTTATGTTGGTCGTAATGAAATTTTTTTGTTATGCTGTGTTGTTTACTGTCACCCCGGGCATGGCTGCGCGTCCCAAAGAGGTCTCAGTTTCTGTGCGCTTGTTGTTCTTATCGTAGCTTCATCTCGTCCAATCATCGGATGTCATCATCGGCTCATTATCGACGACAGCTGCTCTTACATCATTACTTAGCTCTTGAGCATTGACTACCTTAGTGGACTGGCATTAGACTTGGAATTAGATTGTGGAATTATTATCCATTTCATTGTCCTGTTCGCCATCAGTATCATCTATAAACTTGCAAGTAATTGGTCATCTTCTCATATTTGTTTTATGCTTTGTACTAGATAGTCTTAGACTATCGAAGTGTAGTACATCATGTAAATGAGAGTAGACTTATAGTTAATTTTAATAACGAAGGTAATATCTTTGAATATACATTTGTTGAAGTTTTTGAATTGTGGATTTTATTTGATGGAAACGTGTGCTTACGTGGAAATACTTTTCTAGATATTCGTGAGAGCGCAATTTGATTACGATCCCCTAGAAGACGATTTGATCCCATGCGCTCAAGCCGGCATAGCCTTCAATACAGGGGACATACTCCAGGTACGTATTTTCGCTATCCAGTTGACTCGCTGAATACAAATTGAGCATATAGTTTTGTGATTACCGCAGAAAAACCTTCAGTTGTGACCGGGAAATTATTATTTTTGATTTAAATATGTCTTATGTTATAACTTAATGACTTAAAACGTAGAAAAAAAAAACGTTGGCGGCTGGTGTAATCCAGCTCAGTATCAAAATGGGCAACGCATCTGCATCTACGGGTGTTGCAAATGTTCACGGGCGGCGGCTATCGCTTAACATTTGGTGAACCGCCAGCCCGTTTGCTACCTACTCACATTAAAAAAAACCATCAATCGGTGATCAAATTCGACAACCCGAAGGACTTCCCTTCGGGTTATCGAATTTGATCACCGATTAGGGTAGTGGGTCCTCCCACTACTGAAAAATTATTGTGTGATGAAAATAGTCCGTCTGGGTGTTTATATATGTATAATATGTATTTATTTACAAAAGAAACGTATGTTTAAGTATGGTTATCAGTTATCTAGCACCCACAGTACAAACGTTGCTTAGTTCGGAACTAGAGAACGTTGTGTAAATATGTTTCCTAATATATTTAATATTTCTACACCGCGCCGGAACAGATAATCAGCAAGGACGACTCGCACTGGTGGCAGGCGCGTAAGGACGCGGCTGGCGGCTCTGCGGGGCTGGTGCCGAGCCCCGAGCTGCAGGAGTGGCGCGCCGCGTGCGCCGCCGCCGAACGCTCAAACGCCGACCAAGGTAAGGCCAGCCCACTAAGGCCCAGTAAAGTGACCTCTAGTATACCACCTCAATAAACTGACCTCTAGTTGACCCGTGCGCAGCTTTCGCACGGTACCGTGATCGGCCGTCGAATATTTATATGGTCGTTTGTTTGTTTAATTTCTTTATTGTACACACAATTGGAACAGACAGTTGGAAGAAATGAAAAAAAAATTACAAAGGCGAGATTAGCCCTAAAGAGAGTTCTTTTCCAGCGAGACGTGTGTACAGAAGTATTCGACCAAGGTAACCCAATAAAGTGACCTCTAGTTGATCCGTGCGCAGTTTTCGCACGGTAACGTGATCGGCCGTCGAATATTTATAGGATCGTTTGTTTGTTTGTTTGTTTAATTTCTTAATTGTACGCACAATGTAAAATGGACAGTTGGAACAAATGAAAAAAAAAAAACAAGTACGAAGGCGAACTAAACCCTAAAGAGAGTTCTGATTTTGATTGATAAATACATAAAAAATTATCAATGAAATGAAATCTTATTTTGAAGAATGACGTTTTACATTCTATTTCGCTATCGTTGTGAGAAAATTTTAAATGAACGTTATTTTTATGAAGACGTTAAATTTATTCTAATTGTTTATTTTATTTCAATAGCTGCAAACAAAAGTTCAGTTTGAATCATAAAATTTGATGAAGAATTGTAAAAGTTATGGCGTGCCGACTAAAAACACCTTTTAGAAATTATGACATTGGTCTCAGTTAATGACAGTCAATTCTAGTCCACGAAATTGTGGTCCTCGCCAATACTGGGTTCACGGTCGTTTCTTACGCGCCCGAAATGATAAATCAACGTTAGCGTGTCTCGTTGTGATCACATAATATAAAGTTTGGTCCCTAACTATTGGTTCAATGTTGTTTTTTCATTTTCTAACATGGGCATGTCTTTATGCGTCTACAGTCTTTGAGCACATTTTAATTCACGAGGTTAAATTGAAAAGAATAAAAAATCCAATTTAATGGAGAAGAGGGTTTGGGGCAGATAACAAATGAAAGTAAATCTAGGCCCATTACTACATTTACTTTACTTTACTTTACTTTACATTTACGATTTAAAAGAAATCCCTTAAAAAATTAAAACCGGTTCAATTTAATAATCCCTACTGTAAACACAGGAAATTAAAGTAAATCTAGGCCCTATTATTATGCGCCTAAGAATAAGACCCAAATCTGCTGGTTTCTTTCACCATGTGCCCGACTCTCGATGCATATAATTTTTTCAAATTTCAGCATTACATATATATCGAATACAAAGCAACCCAATGAACCTCAATAACTTAAAGAATACGCGTATGTCATGCAACGGGACTAAGTTAAATTTATATAGCATAAATTTTGCTTTTCGACTTTACCCATTGTACGTGACTGTTTGTTAATAAAGTTTTGGCGTTGTTTGATAGTAAAATTATATGATTTATCGCTTAACATACAGTATGGAATAACAAATTTATGTACCGCACGTATTTTAGGTGTGAATTTATTGTTATTTGAGATTTCAATAGTATTTTCTCTTATCTTTAAATGCATTTTAAGCACAGTGTTAAAATAAATAGGTCTTTACAATATTCTTTTCTAAAATTAATAATAATACTAGCGGACCCGACAGACGTGTCCTGTACACACGAATTAAATCCAATAACTAAAAAAAATGTGAATGTAAACCATTCTCGAATCGACCCGAAGACACAAAAAAAATTTCATCAAAATCGGTCCAGCCGTTTAGGAGTTCAGTGAAATACTCACGTACAGAAGAATTATATATATAAAGATATAAGGTTATTTTTTATAACTTAATCATAATCAAAACGATAATGATAAAGTTGAATGCTGGTAAAGGAATTCCTATTGTACGAATAATAAGTAGTAATAATTGTAATGTAATAAATATATATTGAATCCACAAAATTAAATACATATGTATATTTACTGTGAAACTCAACATTTTCATTATATTATTATTTGTCGTTATGCTTCTATTCGATGAATACATTGTGTTGTTAGACATAATTGTGTGTCTGTGTTCTAATATATTTTCGTTATCCATAGACAATGTTAACGTAGTGACATTGTGTAGATTTTGTCGTTTATCACAATCTCATTGACGTTGTGTGTTGTTGTTTTCTTTTCAAACATCATTGGAACCGCAGTCGGTATGTAACCTCACTTTATGTAATTTACGACACAGTAAAGTTCCCAGTGTCGTGCTTATTTCCAAACAATAAGTGCTTTATTTTATCGTTGAAACCTCCCCAGCAGCATGGTATCAGAAGTAATTATCCCCAAAGCAGATAAGGATATTAAATAGGAACCCTATCAGCTGTCGAAGCTACATTATAAAGGGAATTGTCACCGTAGCAACTGCGTGCGATGAGATTTCGCGTTTTGTGCCACCCGATAATGTGGGAATGGGTGACCGTGTAATAAATACGTGCACAAAATCTGCCTACACTTATCTAAGAAATGCATGCCTAAAATTGGCTAATCTACATGGAGAACGGTCTGGAAAAAGGTCGCATTATCGTTTCGCGTAAATCCAGGTGTTTTATTGGAGTGAATTATCGCGATAAATTATACAGACTAATGGCGCCAAATTTATTTTAACTCTAAATTTCATTCGTTTAGAAAACTGAAATTATTTTGACCCAACATGATATATGTAGGCCTCTTTTTGTCATGGCCTGACATTCCCATGCGTTAGATATAAAATCGGTGTATTACACTACATACCAACCAACCTGTGGTGGTACCAACATATATATATACTTTTTATTTATGAAATACCAATGTACAGTTGCAAATGAAACAAGAGAAAACACCCCGATCCGGACCAATTATCCTTAGAACATACAAATACTTGTCCCGGAAGGCAATCGAACCCACGACCCTCTACATCGCGGCCTATCGCTTAGAAACTTCGCAAACCGAGTCGTCACACTTGTGTAGTAACATGTTGAAAATTTGTACTCCCTGCCGATGTACCTACTTGTGAAAGCGTTACAATGCGTATCAGCCTGAAACCTTTCCCCCACCACCATTGTGTTTTACCATTGCGTGTGCATGAAACTTGTTGTAATGTTGTGCGGCTAGGAGCCGAAGGATGCGTGTCTCACACGGACGGCTGCGACAACACAGGTACACAGATACAACGCCACGAGCTTCCGTTGTAGCCTAGAACCCTCTAGAAACTCCCCTCTGGCGCGTATTGTACACTCTTTGCACACCACAATGTTGACCATATGTGTTGCACATTCAAGATGTATGAACAAAACCGAACCGAATAGATTCAAATTAAAATTTTTGTTCATAAATGGACGGAAAGTTTTTGAACACACGTCCTCCAGGTTACGCGCCTGATGCGATATATGTGCTAAACGGCAAATCTTCACATCGACGAAAGTATGAAAGTATTTATGACGTAGATTCAATTCTAGCGGCGCCGAAAGGTTATCGACCTTTTATCTATAAAAAAATCACATTTCAAATAATAATGGTCACAAATAAAAGCTTAGCCTGATTGAAAATGAAACGGGGAATCAAGAATCAAGGAGTAACCAACGGACTCTGCTATTTCCAGGCCAGCCAGAAGTGTTGCGTCGTAAGGTTCGACTGGTCCCAATGTTATGATAATATATAAATTGGAATTGACGTGTTCTCAAAAATTCTAGGCTGGAATACATTATTTATGTAGATCATATCTTATTATTGTTGATAAACAACATGTATGGTTCGCTTTGGTGTGCGGAGATCTGTAAATTTTCAGCGTAAGTATCGCTTGTATAAGAAAATAGATTTCTGTCGAACGACGGATCTTCAGTAAGTAGTTTCGGCCGCTTTATTTTGCCTCTCTTGATAAAAAGACAATGTGTATATGCAGACTTTGCAATGTATGTGCATCCGATTTTCAGAATGGCTTATTTGATGGTATAATATAATATCTAAACACGTAATGATGTTTTATAGTATATTATTTCCACTTAAAATACGTTTAATATATCAGTTTATATGTCACATTGCTTGTAACGGCTATTTTCATATTTTATTTATTTATATATCTGTAGAAAAATATATATCTGGCTGCAAATTATTTTAAAAATATATTTTTATAACATAAATTATTCTTTTTAAATGAATAGAACGTTACAAAAGAGCTTTTATCGGTCACCGGTATAACTTATAATTTCTGTTACCCAAAAAATTCTATCTGTTATATAAACGTTATATACTACGATATTACCGAAAAGTGCACTTGTTTTCCTTTTTTTATTTCTCGAACTACATTTACACCATCAATAACTTCACTCACACGAATACTTGCACAATAATAACAGGCTTTAGCCGAGTTTAGTTGGCGTCAAACCATTCACCAACCGATCCTTGTTCCAGTCAACTGCTCCATATTCGGACGCAAAAAGAAACAATCGAAGGACAAATACCTGGCGAAGCATAACGCCGTCTTCGACCAGCTCGATGTGGTAACCTACGAGGAGGTTGTAAAACTACCATGTGAGTATGTATTCGGTATTCGTAGGAATCATAGATTGTACACACTTAAGAATGTATACACTGTTATCCTCACGGTTAACCACGCCTTTTCGTTCGATTTCAGTGCGTCGAAAAATCTATACTTAATGTATTTTCGAAAGGCTCAAACAAAAAACTTTCACTTGGCAAATCTTGTTTATCATCGTGTGCTCGAAAGAATTGGAAACACTGCGTTTTATATTGGGTTCTAGCTCATGATTAATAGCTACTGCTATTAATCATGAGCTAGAATAAAATAGTCCAGATCAAAGAAATGCCCCGAATTTAAAGGGGAATGTAGAGATTTATTTACATTAAACGAAATGCCTGCGTCTCGATAAACAATAAACATAGATATTTTTATCAACGGTCTGAAAACCACCTTCTATAAAGACTGACTTTTGGGACACGCTATGTAGAACATGTCTAGGTAGGACATGTCCATTGTTAGACGCGACGAAAACTTGTTGAGCAATATTTAATCAATTTTGAATACGCATTGACTTGCTCATTGCGATTTCAAAATTGATTAAATTTGTTTTTTTTTTTTTTGTAAATGTACATACATTTGTTCTATCATTTTTTTGTTGTTTATGTTATGTGTATACGTAAGTCACATTTCATCTCATTTACATCGTTACCAATGTTGATGTTTGCGTACTAGCTTTAGCTTTTAAGACGTGGGTATTACGTGAAACTTAATGGTTGTAACATCCCTCGCAGCTTTCCAAAGGAAGACGATAGTTCTGCTCGGTGCCCACGGCGTGGGCAGGCGTCACATCAAGAACACTCTGATCTCGCGACACCCAGACCAGTACGCGTACCCAATACCGCGTGAGTACACTTTTCAGTAGCGATACGACCACAATAGATCGTAATTCGCAGCGAGGCGTTACCGATCGTGCACCTGTCTCTTGCACCATAGCCTTTTTTACTGTTTGGTCATTTATTTTATGGTCTATAATATAAGAGCCGTGATAGCTCAGTGTCCGGGCGCTCGCCTTTAATTCAATATACTCGAGCAACCTGAGTTCTATCCCCGGTGCCGGCACCAATGATGTTTTTAACTTTAAGTGCTGAATTGATAAGTTCTCCGCGGTGAAGCAAAACATCGTGAGGAAACCTTCATATTTTCGAAAGAATAATAAAAAAAAAATATTTTTCGAAGATATATGAAGTCCGCCAATCCGCAGTGGGGCCGCGTTGTGTATGATACCCTCTGTGTAGAGGAGACCTTTGCCCAGCAGTGGGACATGTATACGCTCTTACTTTACTTTACTTTTCTTAATATGTATCAATTATCTAATGTTCATATTACAATTTTTGCTTAATTTGACACTAGATAATGTTGTGTAAAAATGTATCCTAAAGTATTCATTACCTTGTGTGAATGTGCACGGATTGTCGTATTTTATTTTTATTTTTTCGAAATCATATTCAGTCAGAATTTATAATATGATACGTTCTATTAGGTAATTCTGTTAATATAAGTTAATCCGTAACAATTTTCAATCACAATTACTTAATTTAGTATAGCTCTCTAAGCTATAAAAAAATATTACCATAAAACTCTTAGTTCCGTACATACCTTTCGTAGATCTTATACGTCTTAATTTCATGCTTGGTGTGCTTTTTAATTTGTGCAACCAGATTGTGTGTCTTTAACAATAAAGAAAGAATGATACTTTATTATCTATTTCAATTTAAAAAGAAACATCACATTGTATATTTCAATTTCAATTTCAACTTTCCAGATACAACTCGCCCCCCACGCCCCGACGAGGAGAACGGGCGCCATTACTACTTCGTGACGCACGAGGAGATGATGGCCGACATCGCTGCCAACGAGTATTTGGAATACGGTAAGCTTGGTGAGGCCACGACCATCCACACGACCACTCCATTGACCACGACCAAGAAAATGGCCACGTTGACGACTCACACGACCACGTTCGCGACACGATCATATAACGTTCAACAGTGTTGACGTATGCCGGCTAAATGCCGGCATCACGAATCATACTGATGTCCGATCCGAAAAAATTTAACGAGAAATGATATTTTGTGTCATAAATATAGGCATCATACTCGTAGATGCTAATAAATACTTACATAGGAAGTATATATTTTAGATGTGACTTAATATTTACATATTTTGATATAAGGTGCATTCGGCTAATTCCGTAAATCGGGCTATTCTGATAATCACAATTTTTATCATCATTCATTCACAATTTTTATATCAATTTTTTTTCATCTAGCCTAGCTTGTTCTAATCCGTCTTTTTCCATATCTACATTCTAGTTCGTCGGTTTAGTTTTTTTTATTCTAGACCATTCAATTCTATTATTTATATCCTCCAAACTTTTGTTTACGTAAAAAGTTGCCAAGCGAGCAGGCGGTTCACCTGACGTTAAGTGAATACCGCCGCCATCTGCTACACCCGAGGGTTGCTGATGCGTTTGCAACCTTTTGAAAATCGGACTCCGGCCACCTCACTCACCAGACGATACGCGAAAGTATTATACTTCGCACTTTACGCCGGTGTTCTGTGAGTTCGTGGTACTTACCCGGACGAGCCTGCCCATTCGTGCAACAGCCGAGGCTGCCGCGTGGCGCTACCACCGTGAAGACGAATGTCGTGAAATTTCAAATTGTAAGATCTCTTCTCAGACTCTTCTCTCTCCGAGCTGTACGTGATTCCTCACACCGATTTTAAAAGAACGGTAAAGGAAAGACCCACACGATGTCAACCGACCAATTATTCATATAGGACATTATTTCGTAATTGCATTAAACATCGACCACACGTGACAAGGGATCGCTGAGGGGGGCTCAGTATTAACATTTTAAACTGTGGAAGGACCACGCAACAAACTCCGCGGTTACACGAATAGGCAGAAGACCGGAGTGAAGTGAAAGTGTCATACTTCTACGTTTAGTCTGGTGAGTGAGGTAACCGGGGTCGACTTTATTAAAAGGTGGCCACGTATCTGCAACCCTACTGGTGTTACAAATGTTTTGATGACTCCGTGGCGCAGTTGCCAAGGCATTTCTTTCGGCGTCGGGGGTCGTGGGTTCGATTCCCACACGGGATAGCTATTTGTGCGACCCACAGATAGTTGTTTCGCATCTGGGCGTTTGTCCTCGTGCTATTTATGTTTGTAAAACGTCCTTACAACACGGGATAATGTTATCCTAAAGTGAGGGCACTATTTTTTAAAGAATAAAGAAAGAAAAAAGAAAGAATAAAAAATGTTACTTAACATCAGGTGAACCGCCTAGCTCGCTTGCCACCGTTTCACATGCAAAAAGACATTCCATTCCATTCATTTCTTCGCAGGCACCCACGAGGACGCAATGTACGGAACCAAACTGGATACGATCCGGCGCATCCACGCCGAGAGGCGCGTCGCCATATTGGACGTGGAGCCGCAAGCGCTTAAAGTGCTGCGCTCGGCCGAGTTCGCGCCCTACGTGGTGTTCGTGGCCGCGCCGCCGCTGAACAACGTGGCGGACGTGAGCGCTTTTCCCGCTTTAGCGGTTGCATGCATTCGAATATTGCACGCGGTAATTGAAACTGTTCTACGGATTTCGTCGCGTTTTGTTTTTTTTTTTTTTTTTTTCTAAATTGCGGACGTCTCGAACACAGCGTTCTACACTACAACTGTAGCGTTCGTCGTCACGGGAGAGACTGAGTTGACAAAGGTCCAATAAATTAATAAAAAAATTATGGTACCCCTTAGAACGTGAAACAATTCCGTGTGCCCCGTGTTAAAATCAATATGGAACGCGATAAAATCCGTAAAATAGTGTTATTTAACAATGCTTTACCTAAGTCCATCTCTCCCTGATCCACCCTTCTTTCCGCCCTTTTTCTCTCTCACACCTGGAACATTGTAATGTACTCCCTCTTCTTGACCACCTTCTCCCCCACATCATGTCTAAGTAGCCACAAATGTTACACATATTAAATAAGCGTGTATTATTTAACAAAAATTAAGGTGTTAGTTCTGATCTAGCAGATTTGCTTTGTTCGGGTTCGATTCCCTGATCGATCTTACTTAAATTAAGCGCTGTACTTAATTTTTTTACGGCGGTAGGGCCACGCAGCAGCCTGGGCTGTTGCACCAATGGGCAGGCCCGTCCGGGTAAGTACCACGACCACACAGAAGACCAGCGTAAAGTGGAAGTATGACAAATACTTTCGCGTTTCGTCTGGTGAGTGAGGTAGCCGGAGCCCAATTTTCAAAAGGTTGTCAGCGCATCTGTAATCTGTGTCCCTCAGGTGTAGCAGATGTCCATGGGCGGCGGTATTCACTTAACATCAGGTGACCCATCTTCTCGTTTGGCAACATTTGTCATAAAAAAAATAAGATAAAGATTACTTCAGTGCGCTTCATTTACCCCCGTTTAGGCCCCGCTTCATTTACGAATTTACGAAAGATTATATTACACCGCTAACAGTACGGTGTAGTGCATTTTTATAATTTAGTCGCGACAGTACTTCGCTCGCGGCAGTACGTTGCAGCGCGTTCTGCTCATTAAATCGCTACAGTATTTTACATCATATTCTGCTAATTCAGTACGCGACAGTACCTAAACGTCAGTAAACATTGCCCGTCGCGACAGTACGACGGCTCGCTGGAGGTGCTCGTGCGCGAGTCGGAGCAGCTGCGCCGCACTTACGGCCACCACTTCGACCTCTGCATCGTGAACAACGACATAGACGACACGCTCGCCCAGCTCGAGGCGGCGCTCGCCCGCCTGCGCACCTCGCCCCAATGGGTGCCCGTCGCATGGGTCTACTGACCGGACGACTGCCCCCTGTAGCGCGCCAAAATGGACCTTAACGGCTCCGCATCAAGCGCTAATTTCCAGCGCGCGCCCTCACTCGTCGCCATCTGTAGCGCGCCAAACTGGACCTTAACGGCTCCGCATCAAGCGCTAATTTCCAGCGCGCGCCATCGCTCGTCGCCATCTGTAGCGCGCCAAACTGGACCTTAACGGCTCCGCATCAAGCGCTAATTTCCAGCGCGCGCCCTCACTCGTCGCCATCTGTAGCGCGCCAAACTGGACCTTAGCGCCTGAGCACGAAGCATTAGTTTCTAGCGCATGCACTCGCTCGTGACCATCTGTACCGCGGTAAACTGTACCTTAACGCCTGAGCACCGAGCGCTAATTTCCAGCGCGCCCTCGCTCGTCGCCATCGGTAGCGCGCTAAACTGGACCTTAATGCCATTGTGTCAAGCGCTAATTTCCATCGCGCGCCCTAAATTGTGACTACCTGTTACGCGTCCTTAACGCTTGAGCACGAAGCATTAACTTCCAGCACACGCTCTCGCTCGTGACCATCTGTAGCGTGGTAAACTGGACCTTAATGCCTTATTATCAAGCGCTAATTTCCAGCACGCGCCGTCACTTGTGACGTCACCGCTTTACGGCACGGACAACCGCGTCGGCTGTCTATTGTTTTGTTCTTGTTTCGCATTATGCTCTTGTTTTGTTTTACGTTTCGTTGTTGTTGTTGTTTTTTGTTCTTTGCCGATTGTTCAGTATTTGCGCGTCCGTTGGTAATATCGGAAATATGTATTTTGGTGTATTTCGAAGAGGCCGCTGATCGGAAGTGAAAACTGGTTTACATATCATTTGAAAATGGACTCTGTGGTATTTGTTTGGTGAATATCGAAAAATGTTCTGTAAAAAATACAGAAAAAGCTTGGAAAGATGATGGTATACATTTTACAATACGAGGAGTTAATACGTGTCGTTAATTATCTGAACAGCAACCAACAGACGCGCAATAATTAAGAATATTTATGTAAGTTTATTTCAATATTTACCCAATAAATATATTCTATATAATGAATTTTAAATATATACGAATGTATGTTTAATTGTAAATTAGAAATCATCGATCTCAATTCGAGACGAGTGATTTCGAGCTCAAAACAATTTATTCTTTACGTATCTAGTGAATTTAGAAACTGTAGTTTCTCTTATATGTATATCTCTTTATTCGACCTTAACGAATATTTCGTCTCGGTAAGATTTAACAAATATCCATTTGTCAAGTAATTAGAATATTCGATTCCGACGTCTTAAGATTTGTCTAATCAAACATAACGTCTTAAGATTTGTCTAATCAAACATAATTAAGAACAGACATGCATCGGTTGTCGTTACTTCTTTCTTGAAAAATAAAAAGAATAATACGAGATAAAAATTATCTAAAGTATAGTAACAACATGCAATGATTTTATTGGTATAATTTCTTAGCGAAGGAAGAGTAGGTGCTAGAGGGGGTGCAGTGAAAGGAAATCGAATTTCGGATGAGATTTATATGCGGTTAGGTACGTTTGTATTCTGCCTAGTCCATAAAAACTGGGGACATTTATTTCTTGCTATCCCAGAATAAATCCGGCATGTCTCTCATAAATTGTGTGAGCCCTTTTCTCTTGTTATTTGCACATTTCAAATAAAAAATCAAATACAACATTTTTCAAATAAAATCACGATATTTTTTACCCAAATTCACTCTTCTATTTTTACGCCTGCCGCAAATATTCGTTGTTGCCATATTCGGTACGTTTTCGTCGGGATGACAACCCTACGAAATGGGGTTAAAAATGGACACCACACCGTATTTTACAATTTTGACCATAATATAAACTCTCAATACAAGTAGATGGTGAAGACTTGAATTCACGTTATATGCAAGTTTCTATGACGTGATAATCGATCTTACACGAATTATTAGTTTTTAGCAAATAAGTTTTTATTTTTTCTTTGAAACGTAGTACAAGTTAAAAAAGACAAAGCATAAGACGTATGTTACTCAAACGAACAAATAGCGTTTACATATTTATTTAGTCAAATGTGATAATGTTTTCGTTTCCATTGTTTATGTTTACGAACTATTATTTGTAACGAATATTATTTTATGATAGCCCGCATGATTATTTGGTACGTAACCGCTCAATGTAATCTGTGCCAAAGCCCTACGCGAAAGGCCTTTCCCATTTACGGACACAAACATCACTTATCGAACTATCCTATTAACAATTTTTGGATTCATGTATATACATATACATTAGTAGTTAATTTACAAGAAATGATTAAATTAATCCATTAGAAATGTACCGTAGTTCAAAGTGTTAACTTAAATTTAAGATTTCTCCTATGGTATGGTAAGTAAGTAATGTCATTAGTCTCTTGTTTAACCGCGAAAGCACAGATGCAAAATATTTTTGACACCTCTTTTACACATTGCTTCCTAAGTGAAACCTTATTTTGAATTTTATTATTTCTGCAATAAAAAATTAATTAGTTTGCTGGCCATGTTTATCATTAATCAAAATGTAAGTTATATATATATATATATATATATTTATTTATTTATTTAATTTATTAAATTTGCTGTCGCATTTTTTTATTTTTATTGTAGTTTTACATTACGTTACAGTTTTACATGAAACTAATGTCCAATATATATTTGTACATCTGTGTTTCCTGGTTAAACGAGGATCTATTATGAGTATTGGATACTATCTCACAGGTTTAGAATACACAGGGTTGCAAGGATCACTGTAGTTTTTTCTCCTTAATAGTTCGTTTAATTATTAATACAAATGTTGGGAACGCTAAATTATAATCTAAATACAATAGTATTTTTGTTGCTATAGGGTTACGATAAAGAAGTTCTTAATTTACGAACTATGATGAAGACTATGATTTTTAATTTGCAACATGCATAGTTTGCAATGCTCACGAAAACTTTTACGGGATTATTAACTGATCATAACTCTCTCAGTATTATTATACTTGCAGTCTTTATGTAATATTTTCAAACGAAGTGGCAATAAGTGTTTAATAAAAAAAAAACGTGTTTTCATCAAATATGTCATAGGGTTAATTTTCCTGTCACAAAAAAAATGGATTCAATAACGTTTCAATATAAATAAAATAAATTGTTTGACAATAAAATAGTTTACTTAAAGCAATTTTCAGAAATCGGTTTTTAATAATTTATACAAATTATTGGTAACTCGGATAAAAGTTTGCTTTCATAACATTGTAATGGATATTTCAGCTTTGATGCAAACAGTTGCTAGATAGCGGTCGCCCCTTCGAACTTATCGAATAGAATCACTCAGCCACTTTATATGCATGCGCTATTGCATTCCTGTACAGACTATTAAAATGTGTAGTTAAATTTTACCCTATAATTATCACTATTTCAATGTATTCAAGTATATATTATATTTAGGGTAAGGTTCGAAATAAGGATTCTTTGTCACATTTTTTTGAATGTATTACAAATTGATGCATTAATCATTTTAGTAAATTATAATGTTTGCTCAAAAATTACATTAGACTTTATTCCTATATAAATAGTGACCTGTTTCTTGTAAACCGATTTTTGAATTATGTAATTTTAATTGAAATCCCTACAATGCGATCCAATAGTTTTCTTTTCTGACCTTAGAATTTTATATAAATATTACAAATTTTATTTTTACTATGCTAATGATTGTTATTAATAATATTATCTATTCGTGACCATAGATAATGAATAAATGTAGTTAATATAATTATAAAATCTTGGACTTAAATTATAGAATAGAAATAATGTGAAAAATTTGTAATGGTGTGAAAGTAGCACTCTTTATGTAAAGACTATATAATATAATATATTAGTTTTAATTTAAACGTGTATCTGTATTTACATTATATCTGCAACAAATGTTTTTGTTGCTTGCTTTAAGAGTTTAAAACAAATTAAATTATTTCAAATTACTTAGTAATTTTTATCTAAAGTAAACAGAGCTATGAAAATTTTATTGTTCCCAGTTAACTGATAACTGTTTAGTAACATATATAATTTGAAAAGTATATTTAATTACAACCTAACCCTGTTAAAATATAAATGAAGTGATATTTATTGCAAGTAAATAAGATTCAGTGGTTTAAAACTAGCTATTATTGTTGTTTATTTATGTCTTACAGACTAAAACAATTGTTTAAAATTTACTTAGCGCCTCTCCAGTGTTTTGGAATGAAAGTTTTTATCTAATAATATATATTAAATAATTAATTATTAATAATATTTTATTTAATGGAGAGTATTTTAAATGTTATGATAAAAATTAAACAAAACCTCAGTCTCAACATTCCATTAATGTTTAATATCTTGTTTGTTTAAATTTATTTTGTTATTGCAATTAATGTATAATGTTTTATGTTATTAACTTTTATTTAAATTATACACTATTAGGATATGTTCATTATCAGCTTTTTGTTTTTAATAGTTGTACTTATATTATTTAAGTTAGTATATAATTTAAGACAAAGTAGATTATTAATTGTTGTAGTTAAATCTTATGTTTCATGAAATATAAAATGACGGAGGGATAGGAACTTGATTGGTTACAATGTCACTTAAAAAATAACAAGGTTTAAAAATTGCAATAAATAGTTACCTATTAATTTATAAATGAACAATAGTGTGTAATATCTACCTACTAAAATATAAAATACTGTTTTGGCTCAGAATAATATGACCAAACGCCGCCATGGCATTTAGTCCAATATATGTCCCAGAACGAACTACCGACGTTTAAAATTTAATGTATATTCATCGAAACATACTGGCGTCATAATTTTGATGGGACAGAATATTCAATACCAACTTAAGATGACTGAAGTAAATATCTTATAATAACTGTTAAAATTAAATAAATCGCACAAAATAAAACGTTGTTTTCTTGATAGTGTCGTTCCTAAACTACCCGAGTAATTAGAGTGTATTATGTAACTCTAAAAATATACAATACAGTTACACTAAGGTGCGTTTAGTAACTATAACCAACGTGCCGAGAACAACCGCAGGATAGGTAGCCGCGGCCCACTTTATTAAAAGGGAGCAACGCATAAATATAAATACATTAATATTATATAAATAAATTCATATTAAGGACACATTTTTACACAATGTTCTCTAGTCCCGTACTACAACACTTGTACGTACTATGGGTGCTAGATAACTGATAAACATACTTAATCATATTTTTCTTTAGTAAATAAATATAATATAAACACCCAGACACTGGAAAATCATCATGTTCATCACAAAATGTTTTTCTAGTAGTGGGGATCGAACCAAAACCCTCTGTCGTAAATGGCACTACTCACTACGCCTTTCAGGTCGTCAAATATCACTTTGTAGCCTTTTTTTAAATTTTCTTTTATGAGATAACATCTGGACGAGCCAGACTTCAACAGTGGTCAAAAGTTCCTAAAGAAGAACAAGCCTTAACTGTAGTAGGGCCATACAACAGTCTTAGCTGTTGCCCGAATGGGCAGGTCCGTCCGGAGAAGTACCACAACCTGACGTCTTCTGTTGGGTGAAGTGTTTTCTGCGTTTCAACTGTTGAGTGAGTTAACCAGGGTGGCCTAACTATTTTTTTTATTTTAGGATAGGTAATAAAACGTGGGGAGGGGGGAGAATAAAAATACATTGATACAGCAAAATTATTTCGGACTTAAAAAATTCCAATAGTTTCAGAAGATATTGAAGTCTTGGTTATATTAACTGCATTAGTTAATATATTGTGTCGTGAAATATATTGTCTAAAACCATTTCGATGCAAGGTCCGACAAAAAATGTTTGTGCGATAAGTTGAGACAGTGACTAGTAAAACAAAATTTAACTCAATCACTTAAGATCAACGCCTTAGATCTAAATATAAAAAAATAAGACTAGATCTTTAATTTTTTTTCTGAGGCTATTTATAACATTTTGATTGTTATTTTCACTACCTTTTTGAGTTAATCAATTTATGTTATTAAATAGAAGAAAAATGTTTTTATTTATTTTAACATCTTATATCTAGCATTAAAGGAAAGAATTGTCCTAATTCGCTTGTGTGTAGCATTAAATTTACCTTAATCTAATAAATATATATCTCCTTAAAAATAAATACAACTAATTTCGTAGCAGATAATCCACATTGCAACTCTTGTGAATTCACTCAGAGCACAACAAAACAAAGTCGGTTTTCTTCGTTGTGACTCGCTGAGCAGGTTGCGAATCCATGTTTCGAAACTCAACAGGGTATTGTCAACTTTGTAAGAAGAGGCGATGAAAATTCTGGTTTTAAATCTGCCTCAATCAATTGGTCAACTAATCTCAATTAATTGCCATAATTTGAAGATGAAGGAGTATCTATATGCGACAATCATTATAGTGTAATGCATATTAATTAGTTACATTTAGTTTTGTTTCATTTTGCCACAAAATACACCTAATAACTGCGTTTTTTTTTTTCAAATTTCGCCAGATTTGCAAACATGTCCTTAACTGTGGTCGTCGGGTTACATATGACACTTCCACTTGTTTTCTCTAGTCCGTGGACTAATTCGAGTTTAATAGTCTGTATACTAAAATGTCAGTTATTTCTAATCTGTTCTGTCAACGCTTACCAAATTAGACCGTGTACAGGGATGCCGAAACTATAGAAAGATATCGATATTTATAAAAATATCAATATCGGCCTCAATATATCGAAGATAAAATATCGATATATTGATATTTTTCGGCAGCAGCCTTGTCCAAAAAAAAAATTTATGACAATTAGTTTAATTTACGGACTATGTGCCGGTTTCTAATTTGAAAAAAATGTCGTTTTTGATATTAAACCTATAAATAATAAATGTTTTATATCGATATTTCGAATCAATATTTATCTATCGATATTTTTTCGACATCCCTACCGTTAAAGAAACCTCAAACTTTGACGGCTGTCTGTGTATTGATTGAAATGATTAATTAAAGATCTCGCAATTATTTGTTATTTTCTCCTTAACTACTCAAATCCTTGGATTTTAAGTTGTTAGCACATTTGTGCTGGGGTATTTACCATAATGAGTCAAAGAGAACGACGCTCTAATGCAGGCAACCGCATGGCAAAGTTGCTGGATGAAGAAGAAGAAGATGATTTTTATAAAACTACTTACGGTGGTTTTCAAGAAGTAGAGGAGGATGGAGATTATGTGTAAGTATCTAAAGTATAAAAGTTTTCTAACAAATGATTTATAACAATCCTCGAATGCTAATTAATTCATAAAATCGGAAAACTATAAGATCCTTTTGGTACATAGTCAAAGTACTAACACACTAAGTTTGTATTTTCTTGTTGCAATTGATCACATAAGGCCTCGAGAGTCGTAAAATCAAAATTGTTTTGCCTTTTGTTTTGACACAAATATTTAATTGGATTTCAGATTATTCTTTCAGATTCGTTTGTTTTTCCATATATAATTTATACAGAGTACACTTTTTATGATAGGGTAAATGTTTAAAAATATAAAACAAATTATCATATTATCAGGGATTAGTTTAGTTTATTTAAGAAAAAGTATTAATTACATATAATAATATGATTTTAAAAATACTAATATTGGAATTGTTTTAGTGAAGAAAAAGAAGCTGAAGATGTTGTAGATTCAGATTTTGACATAGATGAAAATGATGAACCAGTTTCCGACCATGATGATGAAGGTAAAGAAAAAAGGAAAGTCAACACAAAAGCATACAAGGTAAAGTTTTTATTTATTTAGCTACAAATGTTTTCTTGCCAAAATATCCGAATGATCAAGTATGTATTCCTCATTGATATTTGGTAAATATTTTGTCAATATTAAGATTTAACAATTTGTTACATCTCAACCAGATTATGACATCTTTTGTGCCAGTTACTTTTTAGCGCCTTTAAGGTTTCTTCATAACTTTAAAGGCATGAAAATTGTGTCCATATTGTGAATGAAAAAAAAAAAAACAAAATAATTAATTTTTAATTACATCTTATAGGATCCAAATAGAAAACGGAAAAGTGCTACTGAAAAGCAGAAAAAGATAATTAAAAAGAAAACAAAGGTATTCAAGCCTAAGGAGGAAATAACCACAACTCCAACAGAGAAAGTTAGTAAACCGTCAATAGATACATCAATAGGTATGTCCTTTTAATATCTGGCCTAAGTTTTGAATAAAATCAAAGATTATCTGTTCATGCTTAAGGATTATATAAAAATCCTGTATACATAATATGTCCTTGGTTAAACTATAGACCAAGGGTGGCCAACCGGTCGATCACGAATGGTCGATTGTGACTATTGGTTCAGTCGATCGTGCAAGGCAAAAAATATGAATACATAGAAGAGACTGTACAAGATACTTAATCACTAACTGCTGCACATATCATCTTGTATCATTTTTTAACATTCAAAAAAATTTCAAATGGATCAAATGATACTTCAAAACGAAATTATTATTCAGCGCTGCAACATATTTCTAAAAGCAAGGTCATCCACACACAAGTATAGAATTCTGGGTATTTGGTGGCTTTGAATCCAAATCAGAAGAAATGTGTTGAACATTTGTGTTTTGTTGGTAATTTTCAGTTTTATATTTTCCCTCTAAATAAAATTAAAAAAAAAATTGTACATAATTGAGTACTGAACTGTTTTATTTAGATTAATTGGTTGGTTGCACAGGGTGTTTTCAGTGAACAGTAGTCAGTGAACTTGGGTCTAACCAAGTTGGCTACCCCTGCTGTAGACAGTATTGTAGTCCGTCTAATCTATGAAATACAGTTTGTCCACTCTAGGATAAAATTATTTGTGCTAAAGGCATGCGAAAAATATAAATATTAAAGTTCTTAAACTAGCATAACAAATAATAATAAATGTTTGGCACAAAACTTATCACTGTATAGTTTACTATTTCTTATTACCACAATAGCAGGTGTAAGCAAATTAAACTAGTTAGGACAATATAAAATTATGTATGATGTTCACTAGATCCCCACAGCATTGTGCCACAACACTCATTATGATATCTTCCTGTATCTGTCCATTTTGAATTATCATGCTGTTATTGTTATTTAATAGTGAGAATGCATATAATATCAATCCAAATATCAATTTCTTAATGCGTTTCAAACCTTATTATTATAATTTAAAAAAGCTATGCCCCAACAATAAAAACTTGTAAGATCTATATGTCATAATCTTGTATACTTTAGGCTGTATTTATGTGTGGCCTAAATGTGTAAGATATTTTAATAACAGTGAAAGAAAAAATTATGCAATGTCTTTTTCTCATAAAAATATTTGTTGTATTTCAAAATGAACACTTCATTTTATTTTTTTATTTAGTTGATCAAAATAATTTTAGATATTTACATAGCTTATGTTAAAAACTTCAGAAAGAAAATCAATACGACGGAGCACGGCTGTCAAGTCAGCTGAGACTAAACAAAGGATAAAAATCAGATCAGAGTTGAAAAAGAAAAAACCGAGGAAGGTGGACGATAGAGTCTTTACTCAAGAGGAGTTATTAGAAGAAGCACTTATAACAGAGAAAGAAAACCTTAAAAGCTTGGGTATTGTTATTATTACTCTAGTATTATAAAAACTATTAGGAAGATTTATATTAATAGATCATCAACTATAATAATCTGATAATATAAATTTCCCTAATATTACTCCAGCTATATAAAACATTAAAATTTTCAATATCTGTTCTGTAAAATAAAAAGATATATAAAGCTATCGGTGCCCGCGACTTCGCCCGAGTGGAATTTAAAATAAAAAAAAATTCTCAACTAAAAGTAGCCAAAGTTACTTCTTATTACATCAGCTATCTGTCAGTGAAAGTCCCGTCCAAATCGGTCCAGCCGTTTCAGAGTTTAGCCGGAACAAACAGACAGACAGACAGACAAAAATTGTAAATAATGTTATTATGGTATATTTACCGTGTACACATCCGTATGTATTTAGTTATTTTAATGTTACAAACAGACACTCCAATTTTATTTATCTATATAGATTACTACACAATTTTTTTATTTATCTTTTATCTAGCTAAACAGTCAATCATGTGCATGTTATTAAGTCTACATTAAGGGATGTAATAAAATAAGTGCTTTATATTGTTGTTTTATCCTTGGATGACTATTTAATGTATCTTTTTATTAACTTTCAATTAATTTCAGAGAGGTTCGAGCAAAATGAACTGGAGAGAAAAAAAGTTCGACCCATAAAGAAAACTATCACGGGCCCTGTAATAAGGTAGGTATCTGGTTTAATATTAAATCGTCATCATCATTTCAGCCTGCGAGTTCACTGCTGATCATAGTACTCCCCCACAAACTGCCGACTTCCCACACATTCGCCGATTGTGCGGAAACATCTTCGTCGAATTTGGACATACTAACCAAGTTAACTTTTTTCCCGAGAGATTAAATTTAAAGAAAGTTATTGAATAATAGAAATATCTGCAATGGCATGGAAAGCCTGAATTCGGATAGTTTATTTATATATTTAGTTTGAGTTTTATTATTTGTTTGTTAAACCGATAACTGATGGGGAAGAACGGTCTAGTGTAAGATGACTCCACTAGATGGAGTGTACGCCATTGTTTCGTCTACAAAAAGTAAATAGATCGTTCATGGGGCAAAGTGTGCGCATGTATAATAAAATCCCACAGTCGATATTAAGTCTGCCGCTTGACCAATTTAAATGTAAAATTAAAAGTCAACTTATGGTTAAAGCATATTATACCATTGCGGAATATCTCGACGACGCCAATGTGTGGAGTTAATACTGTTGATACTAACGTATGGTAGAATAAGACTATTATACCGGTATATCATAATGTAAACTGATATTTTTTGAAAAAGAGCAACTGTTGAGTTTGTTGCCGGTCTCTTCTCAACAGAAACTGCTTTCCGAACTGGTGTTACCTTACGAACCTATAGAGATAATTTTTGATGTAAAATTTAACTATTCATAAGAGCGCGCAAGCGTCTGTTTGAATGTGATGTAAGTGCCCGGGAAATGGATGGATGCAGGATTGTATTTCATGGCAGTCTGTGGCGGAGGCCTAAGTTTCCTTGTATACTAAACTGAAATGATGATGGTGATACGTTATTTTATAAGTATATGTCGATTAAGAGTTAAATGCTATTTTAAGGTACCACTCCTTCGCCGTTCCAGTGCCTCTAGTTACGGAAATAACGCCAAGTGAGGACAAATCGACCACACCGCCCTCGGCTGACATAAATCTCAATGAGTTGATCAAAAGCGAGGAAGGTAATGTTGCTCTTTTTTCTGTCTTCATATATTTAGATAGATTTAATAACACAGTAAAAGTAAGAACTATTTTTGCCTGACAACTAAATTTGATAAGATTTTCTTGATGATTTTTTGTATTTTAGCACGATTTTTGTAATGGCATGGGCCAGATTTTGGTTAGTTTATGAGTTCATTTATTTAACTTATATTTCCCTGTGTTAAACTGTGGCGTGCATGGTTATGTATTGGTGGTGATGCTACTGATATAACTTGCTATTCTTCTGTCAATAAAGTAACAACTGTCGTCAATATGTCTTCGATTTAGTTTTCTACATTTGTCTATATCACATTTTCCATAATTAAATCGATCATATCTTCAAGAAGTGGCTCACTTGTCTACTTTTCAAAGTAAAAAAACCTCCATATACTCGCAAAGGCTAGTATTAGGTAAGATGCCTTACGTCACTAGGCTGTGACGCCAGCTCGTAATCCGAACTCAAATAACTAGCGGACATCAGATTGATCAGGTTTACAAGTAGTGGGTGGTGTGCGACGTATCAGGTGACGTCATCACTATTTTCCTTCAGAATTTTTGTTCTGTGAGGTAGTCGCTCACAAGTGAAGATCGTTTTGGCTCCCTGCTTCCTCATGCTCGGGATTTTTTATTACAACGGATAATCTTGTAGGTACCGCCGCTGCTGATCTCAGCGACGCAAACACGCCTACGCCCGGAATAAAGTCTGAAACGGTGGAAACGGAGCCGAAAGAGGAAGTGGAGAGCAAAATGGAAGTGGACGCCGAAGTGGTGGGGGAAAGCAAAATGGAAATGGACGTGGTGGGGCCCGATGATGAGATAAACATTGCCAACGTCAATTTGTGAGTTTAAGAGCAATGTTATTGTATAAAGAGAGCTTGAGTTTGCACGTGAATGTGTCTGTTAGATCTGCGACGGCTGAACGAATTTGAATCAAATTGCAACGGTTTACTATATCGTTTGGGATATCTAAAATGAGGATGCTCTTAAGCTGGGTTGTACATCACTACGGATTTTATTGTATTTAATACGCATATGGCAATTTATTTTATATGTTGAATAAGATTAAGAAATCTGGACCTGTAGTGTGTACGAGATAGTATTCTGTAGTGTGTACGAGAAACATTTTCCAAATCAGCTCATTTCAGTTCCGTTTTAGATCAAATGATTTCTGCGAACGGAAGTTTTCGAATCGACAGTAATGATTAGCAATACTTTCATCCCCACAAAGTACGTGGGACCTTGGTCATACGTCATCCATGCCCAATTCATAACCCAAGGCTTGGCTAGACCTATACTGATAATCTTTTCGCTTACTAAAAACGCGTGTTCAGAAATACACAGTAAATGATAGTACCCCTGAAATCGCAACCTCTCACGATGAAAAAGATATGTTTATTCTTTTTTTTTTATTCGCAGGAAAGACGAAAAACAGAAAAAGCCCAAAAACAGCAATTGCAAGTTCTACGAAAGGACCCTGATTACTTTTGAGAACGATGTAAGGAACAGGGCGTTCAAAGCGTGCTTTCCGCAAACGAAGCCGAAGAAGAGACGCGAGATGCTGTGTGCAGTTACTAAGTATGTTGAAATCTAAAGTTTTGTTTTAATTAGTTTATTCTGCACAGTTATGCGTTGTGCCTTTTTTTTATTATAAGACGGTTAAAATGAGAATATTGTGTACATTGTCGTCAAATTTCGCCAAATTGCCGCGAACCATTGCTGACAATGCAATAAAGAAAGTGTTGTTATAAGACGGTTAAAATGAGAGTTTTCACTTCATAGTATAAAAGTCCCGCCGACAGCCTGTCCCTATGTATGCTTAGATGCTTAAAACCACGCAACGCAACAGGCGCTCGCTCTAAATCCAATATACTCGTGCAACCTAACTTCTTTCCCCGTTGCTGGCACCAATGAAAGTTTTAATTTTAAGTACTTATAATTTAATATTTATTATTATAAATATGGCAGTCTATGGGGGAGGCCTATGTTCAGCAGTGGACTCAAACAGGCTGAAATGATTATGATGATGATGATGATGATTATAAATTATAATTTAAAGTTCTTCATAAATTATACCCTATGTGTTAATCTGTTGTATAAGCTATATTATTGTAGAGTTTCATTAAAAACCATTCAGTAACAAACACATACAAAACACGTACATATAAACTTTCGCCTTTACAATATCGGCGTGGCGAAGGATTATTTATTTCTTGAAACGCCCCGCAGGAGGCCCGCCCGCTACGTGGACCCGATAACGCGGCTGCCGTACCGCAGCGTGGACGCGTTCCGCATCATCCGCGAGGCGTACTACCAGCAGCTGGAGGCGCGCGGCGACCGCGCCGACCCGCGCGTCGCCGCCTGGCTCCGGTGGCGGCGGGCGGACGCCGCGTCCACTTACGTGCAGATACACATCAGGTGAGCGCCGCACCCGGGCCGCCGTCGCCACGTAAGAACGCCCGTCACCGCACCCGAGCACGTCTCGAACACGAACAAGCATACCCAAGCGTGCCGGAGCATACCCGAGTGCGCACGAGCATACACCCGAGCGTGCCGGAACGTATAGCACGCTCGAGCATACCCAATCGCGCCCGAGCATACCATAGCGCGCCCGAGCATACCATAGCGCGCCCGAGCATACCCGAGCGCGCCCGAGCATACTCGAGCGTGCCGGATCATACTCGAGTGTGCTCGGATACGCTCGGGTGCACTCGCAGCGAGTTCAGTCCGTTATGATATTCAAATCGTTCGCACAATGTTTCGGCGTTTGCTCTCATACGTATGCCACAAACGATGTCAATGTCACCTGATAAATTGATAAATTGTTTCTGTCAGATCGTCTCAGGACCGCGTACGGGCCTAACACCCAGAGAATAACGTTAACGTGGCCGTTAACTGTTCCTTTTTGCGTGGCGTCACTATATTGTGACGCATTATGATGACTTCATACGGTAATGCGCTGTGTTATCTATATATGAAATTAAAATTCCTTTTGTCTAATGGCGACCTTTGCCGGATCATTACTGGTTACAAAATGTACGGAGTAAATAAAGAGTGCACTTTGCAGAAGTATCAAATAAGAGATCAAGACTGATTCCAAGTAGTTGGGTTAGTCGCAAGGCCCAATTCCTTCTTTAATTCACGATGACGATAGTTTATCATCTTAACATTAGTTACTGCGATGTTTATCTTTTGATTTATTGCATTCTAATAAAAAGCTGCCAAACGAAAATATCAGGTTCAGAATTAAGTATCGCTTTTGCATATGTAGTAGAATATAATGAAATTTATTTCTCATTTGATTTGTATGTTTATGGAAATAAATAATTGTCATCATTTGTCTTATTTATTCAGTGTGAAATAGTTTTTGTCGTATTTATGCGACGAGGCAATTCTACTCACAATACAAATAGGTAGGTAAGTTTAATATAGTTTTAAAAGAAATATTGTAAAAAGTACAGTAGTGTTTATAAGTGTAAATATCTTGTGGAATAAACTGTTTAATACAGATGATACAACACCCGTCTCGTAGTTTTATTTTAGTTTAAAAATTGTAATATTAGTACCATTTTAAGTTACAATACATATACAATTTTTATGTATTTTCATTAATACTAGTTGCGCGAAACGATATTTAATCTGAAGCATGTAATTGTACACCTGTATGTAATTCTATCTAATGACTAGCTGACCCGGTAAATGTTGTTTTGCCACATAAATTATGTGTAAGGTACAAAAAATATTTTGGGTGTACCACCCTTGTTACTTAAATATAAACCTATTCTCATACCTACTGAATATACATATAAAATTTTATCAATTTCACAAATTGGCGAGGTTCAGTTCAAGAACATGTCAACTTTTGTCAGATATAATTTTGCAATGAAATAATAAGGAGTCAGTAAAGGAAGTAAAATTCGATAATGTGTAGACATTATTTTATTTTAGAATAAATAATTACAATTCACATTTCTTATTCGGTAGTTATAAGATTCATAATCTGTACAATTGTACAAAAACTTAACAAAATTATATATAAAATGAAAGTTTCAATTAAAAATAACAATAATAATCATAAGCATTAATATTATTTATTGCTATATTACGTATATAGAAATAAAAGCGTTTTTATAGCCTATTAAAGTATATTATATATAACATTTAAGTTTCGCATCAAAATTTAAGTTCATTTGTAGAAAAAGCTTTAAATAATTGGAACTAAATATGAATCAAAGGTTGACGGTAAAAGATGGGTTCAATCTTAAATCTGGGACACTGTTTCTCCGGTCTTTTCTGTTTAGGAGCTCTTTGAATGATATTAAACCTGAAGCGTTTACATCTAATCTGGAATGATATTTGGAGGGATCTGTCGTAGGCAAGTAAGGGTACTCGCTTAGATATGTCTGCGCATTTTTCGTTTTGTTTTCGCTGTCAAAATCGCTAAACTGAGACACGGCTAGCTCGTACGGACTTAGTTTACTATCGGAAATGTTTTCCATAGATCTGAACGCTTCCAGCACCGCTTTCTTGTGAGGAATACCTCTCAAACTACCTTGCCTGCTAAACCTACCGTCCATTACGTCAGTAAACAAATCTTCCACGTGAAACTTTTCCGAAATCTTGACAGGTTTACTCTCGTTTGTTTCGTTTTCCTGCTCTTGCAGCTGATTCCAAAATTCAGAAATCTGAGACGATGGCATTGTGTGTGATTTTATTTTCTTCTTTAATCGTTTACTTTGATTGTCTTCTATTAGAGATTCTGTTGACTTATTGTACAATAATTGTTCACATTCGTTCATTTTATGCTGCTTTTTGACTTCCCTAAGTTCTTCGAGTGACTGAAAGTATTGCCTTGCAATTTTGAAACGAGATTTATAATCGGTCTGAGCGATTTCAATATCTCTCTCCGGCGACGACTCTAGTGATTTTTCTGATTTATTTTCCACTATTTCTATGTCAATATCTGACAAGCTTATGTATGTAGATTCTTTTTCATCGTCCCGAACAGTTATAATTTTGCATTCTTCTTCATTGTAATACGGTGCACTTTCAACCATTCTTCGATTGAAAGTAGAATCTCTTTTATCTTCATGTGTTGATTCTCTTAATATATTTACATCACAGTTTATAGTTTCGTGGCTTGTACTTTTGGTATAATTTCTTGGATTCTGATCACCCTCCGCTGATTCATGTTTACCAGCAGTTCCTGCAACAAATAAGTATAGATTATAAACCTATCGCATTACTAATATCTGTGTATGTGTCGTGATTTTCTTCTAATTTCAACGTATATCTAATCGTAGTTCTTGTTTTGGCGGCTAAATAATAGTTTTGTAATGCATGCGTACTTTGTCATACACTCTGGAAAGGCCATGTAACAGCCTACGCTCTGCCGCGATTGGGTTGCGTCTTCTGTGGCTCAAAGAAGACCAACGTGAAGTACAAGTTTTTACCTTTGCGTTTTGTCAGGTAAGTGACGTAACCTGGTCTGTTTTTCGCGTTGGCAACGTATCTTCAATCTCTCTGGTGTTGCAGATGCTTATGAGCGACAATAATCATTTAACATCAGGTAAACTCAAACATAAAAAGAAAAACTTACCGTAAGTTGAACTCGCAGATTTAAAACGATTTTCAAATCCTTCGGGGGTTTTATTAGTATATTTTCTCGTTGAAGTTTTCTCTGAACTCTTTGACACATCCTCATATAACGATATGAAATTTTTAACACTAACTTTTGGCAACTCATCGCATGATTTGTATTTATCAAAGTCATCGAGTGATTTACTAAACTTGTTAAATATGTCCATTTCTGATTTACTACTTGATAATTTGCGGACATTACACGAGTCATAATTTGACTGATATGGTTGTTTGTTAATTAATTGAATGGTTCTTTTCACATATGAATCTTGAGGGAAATCGTCTTCGATTAATTTATAATAACTAGTTTCATCCACACTTTTTGTGTAAAATTTGTCAGCTACACGAGCCCTTTTCTCTCTCAGAGTAATATGTTTATTTCTAATAGTTTTTTCATCTAATTTATTTTCTTGCTGTTTTTCTTTTATATTTTCTTTACCATTTGTTTCAATGTTTAAAGTCGATTTACAGAAGTCATTATTTGTCTCGCATTCATTGTACTTTTGCTGATGTATGTTTTGCATTGATTTACTTTTAATTTTCACCCATGACATTTTTTCTGTTTGAGATATATTGTGAAATAATGAAATACGACTTGATACTAAGCCACTCTCGTAAGTGTTTATGTGGTTATCTATCAAAGGTTCTTCTATTGCATTTGGTTTTCCTGAAAAAGTATCTAACTTATTTAGAATTTGTTTCCTAGAAGTTCCAAAAAATCTCTTAGGACTTGTTTCAAACGCTTTAAAGACCTCCTCTGGAATTTCTTGTTTCACTGGCGAAGAAGATCCTGTTTTGCAATCCTTTGATTCGGATGTCACTATGATTTGTTCATTATCGCTAAGAGTTTTCTGAGTCTTCGGAAAATTTGTTTTGTCACAGTTACTATTCACTTCATTATTTTCACTTTCTAGCTTGTTGTCCCAAAACGCTTTCCAATTTTTCACATGTTTTATGTTTTCGCCACTTCCATCACGTAAGTTGATTGTTAGATTATTTTTAATAATTTCTTCCTCCTGATTTTCAATCACTTTATTTTGCTTTTGGATGGCTTCACTAGTGTTAAGATACTTCTTTACAATTTGTTTGCCCCTTCTTTTGCTTAAAGAGTCGTTATGTCTTAATTGCTTTGCAGACAAACGCCTCTTTCTTTGTTGAACTTTAGACTCTTCAGCTTCTATTTGTTTTATTTTTTCGTCCCAATATTTCTTTTTTTCGAGAACTATATTAGAGTATTCATTATCGCCAAATTTTAGTTGGTCATTATTACGTAAATTATGGATACCATTTTCAGTGACATGAAGGGTCTGACTTACTGAAACTGATTCAGTAACTTTAGCCTGAATCTCAGAAATCTTTCCTTCTGATTCTATTATACATCTCATCACATCTGATTCCTTGACAGATGCTGATTTGACGTTTGCATTATGAAAATCAATTTTGTGTTCAACTTCTAAATCATTACATTCTTTGTCCTCGTTTATTATAGAACACTCTTCTGAACTTTGAAAGTAATCGTTGTAAAGGTCGTTTATTTCAGCAAAAGCTATTGTTACGGGATCAGATTCAGCACACATTGTTATTTCAGATGTAACTCCCTTCATGCCCAAAGAAATGCTTCTATCATTTTCTTCAATAATTGGCGTGAACTTTGTTTTATTTAAATCCAATTTGTTTAGCTTCGATACATCATTGTGTGGTTCGCTGGATGCAATTTTTCGTAATTCAGTACAGTTTTCCCACAATTCTTTTTCAGCTGGGCCTATATTTGACATATTATAATTATTATTTTTTTTTTGTTTCTGTTGTACCTCTTTTGTTAAATTATTTTCATTGTTATTACTGTCTGGCAAAGTAATATTTTCATCTATACTAACATATGCTGAATCCCACATTTCTTTTTTGGGCGAACTATTTCCTTCGTCCAAGTTATCAGTTATGTTAGAACTTATGCTCAAACCAAACGAATCTATAGAATTTTCGTTTTTACTGTGTCTATTTTTGTATGAACAGAAGGTGGTATATTAACTTCTTTATTTTGTAGATTTTTGTCTTCGTTTATAGTTTTTTGATTTGTAGTGTTTATAGATTTAATAACTGTTTCTTGAGACAACGACCGTATTTCTGGAGGTAAAGAAACAGGTGCACCAATGATAAAGTCTGTGACGGGTAAGCTTGTTTTATATGTACAAGGTTCTAAAAGCTTGCGTTGGTTAGAGAAAGGATTTATAAATTCATTTCCTATTGAATCCTCGCTTTCCTTGTTATCGAATTCTAAATGAGCTGATTCTCTATTATAAGCAGGATCGTCAGAAATTATTTTAAACACTGGAGATTTTGGTCGGTCAACATTTAGAACACGGAAATCTGTAAAAGGATTACCTTTTGCTATTGGTTCTGTTACATTTTCTACGGTGATTTTTATTTTTGTAGTGTCATGTGTTTCCTCATTTTGTTGTTTATTTGTTTCATATTCGGAAGTTACAAATGTTTTCAAAATGTTTTCAATTTCTTTGTCTGAATTGTTGGTTTCGTTTGAAAACGGATTACTTGACAATAGTACACTGTTATTCTGTTCATAACTATCGTCAAATGAAACACCCCGTAATACTTTTAACTGAGCTAAATTGATATCATCTTGTTTATTGTTATCGTTATCATCGCTATCACCCATATCCGTTCTCTCTGTTAATATTGATACTGATATATTTTCAGGAACTATGAATTTGTCTCGTTTTTTTAATAACATAAATGCATTAGCGGCAGCTTCGCTAAGTGTTGAATTTACAATATCTGGAATATCTTGTTGTTTTGTTGTTTGGTGATTACCATTATCGTTCTCTAATACATTCTCATTTTTATTTTTTATATTATTAAATAATTTACAAATGTTATTAATTTTTAAGATTTTGTTAGCCACTTCAATAAATTTTTTGGTTTTTTTATTAGTTTCAATTATTGTAGAAACAGTGTTGACGTTTTCAGTGTTCGAATTTAATGATTTCGACATATCTGAATCGTTTTCCATTAGAAATTTGGCTTCGTCTTCGCTAATTTTTTCCAAGACGCCGTTCTCTTTCAATAACATTTTTTCAGTAACAAAGTCAACAATCCTTAATACTACCTTCCTATCAGATTTAACATCAACTATATCTATTTCTTCTCCATCTTCAAGGCAGAAACTTTCATTTTCTAACAGACCGACTATACTTTTGGAAGCTGTTACGCTATACGGAGAACCGACGATATTTTGTCCTTTACTGGTTATAGATATTTCGTATTTTCCTTCTAATTTAACTGCGTAGCCCACCTTAACGTGTTCTAGTGTCGATTCTACTTCAATGTCGATATTGAATTTTGTTTTCGGAATGTAATAGGTTTTAGCCATATCGTTTTTGCCGTAATTTCTTAGGTACGTCGCGCCATGTGCTAAGGGTAGGGTGTTTTCGGTGAAAGTTGTTTTTGGTCGGACATAAAGCAGTTGTTGTCGTATTATTTGCGCCTTTCCCAATATCGGTGGCAATACTCTTATGCCATAAGTGTCATCGGGGCCTTTTATTACTATCTTTATGTCTCCAGGATCCAAAGATTGTTGTGATGTTGGATATATTTTAAAATGCGTTTGGCTATTTATTTGAGCAACAGACAAACCCGAGCCTCTCGCTACGTAATCAAAAATGTATTGGCTCGTATCAGGAGATGTCTGTTGCGGGCTGGGCTTTGTGACGGGTGCAGTTACTTTTAATAAAGCTTGGCGAATACTGTTAATATATTGCGTGAGTCTCCATTCTAGATGTTTGCTTAAATATTCATTTGCTTCCAGCTCCTGATGCGAAAACACCTGAAAATATATGAAGGTTAGAGAGAGTCTACACGGTCTATTTCTGTATGTGATAAGGTGGCAAGTGGGCTGGCCTGATGTTAAGTGATAACCGCCGCCCTTGGACGTTTGCAAAATCCCAAGGGTTGCAAATGATTTGTCACCATTTAATAAAGTTGGCCCCAATTACCTTACTCATCAGACAAAACGCAGAAATATAACACCTCTTCTTCACGCCGGTCAGAAAACCGACTCACAGAAGTGAGGTCGTGGTACATCCCCGGACGGACCTACCCATTCGTGTAATGTCGAAGACTTGCATGGCCGTACCACAGTAAATGTGAGTACATTGCCAACTCCTTTTACACACTTTAAATAGGACTGATCGCAACAAGTAATACATATTTTGTCTTTGAATTGAAAAAGTTGAAAAGAGAAATAGAAATGCGTTTATTTATTTCTTCTTTTGTATTGACATTAAATATCACAACGAAAATTAAAATTGAGTCGAAACACAAGGAAAGTATGTATGATAAATGGAATTTGTAACTGTGGTAGGGCCACGCAACAGTGGTCGCCGTTGCACAAATGGGCAGGTCCGTTCTGGTTAGTACCACGACCTCACAGAACACCGGCGTCAAGTAGAAGTGTTATCTGTGTCTGGTCTGGTGGACGAGGTAGTCGGGGCAACTTTATTAAAATGTGGCAACGCATCTACAACCCTATGGGTGTTGCAAACGTCCATGGGCGGCGATTATCACTTAACATCAGGTGAACCGCCGGCTCGTTTGCCACTTTGTCACAAAAAAAAATTGGGAACGGTTCGTTCAATTCATACACGAGTCATACGCACTCAACCACGCACACATAACGTTTAGTGTCTATGATATTATAACGTTATTGCTACCGGCTTAACACCGAGGTAGTGTTCGGCGATTGTCTGGGCGTGCCTCAGCGAGAGACTTGTTGGTGGGTGGCCCGCGCAGGCGCCGGGTAGAGCGGCGTCCAGAGCCCCGCAGACGATCCAACCGTGCCTCCACACCGTGCCCAGCTCCTCTACACGGACTGGACCGCATTCCGACAGCCATTGTATCGCGGCTTGCTTCTGCTCCTCACTCGAAAATAGCACTGGAACGAACATTAGTCACCTTAATGGCGATGCAGCATTGTTTCGACATAAATAAATAAATATGGTTTATTGAACACTTTGTTACACATTTAATGGCGCTTTGACTTCCAAACTAGGATATCCTGTATTTCAAGAGCCAATCCCATCCCCTAACTAACATACGCTTTTGTGCCAAAACATAGTTCGCTGTTTTTGCTCAAATCAGGTGCGATATGAACGCTTATTTCCTAATCAATAGAGGGAGGAAACTGGCCTCTGATAGACTTGGAGTTGGTTATCGTATATAAACCTAAAAAGTAATGTTTTTACTATATAGTGTGAGAACTGTTGATGTGCCTAAATAAAAATAAAAAAAACTGTGGCACTCGGACTGCCACAGTAAAGCTATTGCATAGCATTTTTTATCAACTTATGCAATATAATATATACATATAATATGCAATTATAATAATTTTTTTTATTTATGCAGATTTTTTCTTTGATATTATGATTTTATTTAATATCAATTCAAGTTACCCTTTTTGGCCGAAAAGAAAACAATTTTTTTTTTTTATTGAATAAATGAGAAGTTAAAATCGTTTAAAATATTTTTATTATCTTACAATACATGTATGGTATTCAGGAATTGGGTGTTCTATACATCTTGAGCACATTTGAAAATAATTAAGACTTCTTATTCCCAGAAACTTTCTACCGTATCGAAGGCACGAGTACCGGTACTTGCGCACATATTCGTTGTGTCAATATAAAATAAGAACCATAATTTATCGATACAAAAAGAATCTGCTGCCTCGCCTATTATAACGAAATTATTAAGGTAAAAACAATGGAACAAATATTGATGAGTTCATGACGCCGTTGCCAAGGTATTGGCTTCGGGCACCCGAGGTCTGGGTTCGATTCCCATAGGGGACAACTAATTGTGTAACCCACAGATAATTATTTCGGATCTGGTTGTTGGTCAAACGCCCAACAAACTTTAAAACACAAAATAATGTTATCCTACAGTAAGACAATAATGTTTTTAAAAAAGAAAAAAAGTCGTAATTATTTAAAAATTAGAAAGGCGCTCCATTTGTCTTAACTAAAAAATACGGGTTAGATACATCGAAACACTGGGAGGGAACTGGTCGTGCATGAAATAGCATTCTAGATTTACAGTGCCGTAAACCGAGACAGTCCAATAAAAAATCTTAATCAGTGAGATTACGGAGATATAGATACGCTTAAGTATACTGCAGCCATAAACCCCACTTGGTTCTAAAATGCCAAGTTAAAGTTAGACGGAAAGAGATTGTATGAGATTTTTGTTAATTTGTTTTAAGCGACGAGCTACAATCTCAGTGATTTCGCTGTTGCACTGTTGAATTATGTTTTTCTTGGTTTTACATCGTTCGTTTTGATTTGGAAAAAAATTTCGTGTATTGCTTATTGTAATTGTGTTTCCAATATACTTTGAATGCTCGCACAATACATATTTCTCACCAAGGTTGATTCGCGCGGCTCTTGAAATAAAATAGTTATTCCAATATAAATAATCCTTTAATTAATTAAATTAAATCCAAGAAAAGATAACTCCGATGATGATTTTGATGTACCCAAGCTGAAATAATTGGATTACATGTAAGAGTGACTTTATTCTGTTAGAGTAGAACTCTGAGAGTTTCAAGGTAAAAAGGATTAAAGCGGTGATCTAATACTGACTGATCTTTTTGACGTAAAACCAATGTAAGTGCTAGAATTCATGAGATTTACTTATTAGTATATAGCCATGTACTAAGTAAGTACATCTCATGAATTATATATTTGTACAAAAATATAAGTTGATCAGTGATGGATTTTTTTTATCATATCGGAATCTCGTTAATGTGATTTGAATTTTAAAGACTAGCATCCTTTTTTTAAAAAGAAAAGTGATGCATTAAATATCATATTTGAAGTTCGGAAAATTAAGGAAACAATTTTTTCTAAAGCTAGCTAGCTAGCTAGCTACAATAATATAAGTTTTAAAATTAAATATGTATAATATTCATTTGCCATCACCAATGAAATTGTTAATTTTTTGTGCTCAGCGGTGAAGGAAAACATAGAAAGGACACTATATGAATGTATATCGAACATATGGGAAATCCGCCAATCCACAGTGGGGTCGCATGGTAGATTAAACTCTAATACCCTGTGTATAGACGAGGACTTCGCTTAGCAGTTGGACGTACATAGGCTGTTACTTTTTTGTACTCCGAAATGTTTATTACCGATGTACTCGTAGTATACTCACGAGCTCTGAAAGCAGAGTCGATGTACTTCAGTATCCTCAGTACGAAGCCCTGCTGGCCCCACAGAAGCGTCAGGAGAGTAGCCGGCGCCAAGAAACGCAGGGTCGTCCAGATCGCGTCGAGCGCGGTTGACCACATGCCTCGCTCCGCCTCGATCTCCGGGTATTCGGGGATTGTGGACAGCCCTGGAAAGAAATCGAAACGTGTATGAGTCCTTTAAAACCAGACGATAGACCGGTATTAATGGACCAGATACCATTGGAGAGATACTAGTTAAATGATATAACGCTCGAAAATATATGTCCCAATTAAAAAAAAAAAAAAAATTGACGCCAGCTTCAATACTCTATCAGTGGTATTTAAATAACATAAAATAATTTTTTTTATATAAACATATTAATTAAATGCATCTTTCATAGAATAGTCCTCAGGCAACCCCCGATTGATTTCCAAAAACTAACAAAATCGGTGTTTTGGTTCCAGGGACGCGTTTCGAAGGAGCTTTATATAGCTATTGTTATAAAATAAGGTATTTACAAGCGTACAGTCACATTGAGTAGCGCTTTGGAACGTTAATAAACTTTGATTTGAAACCGTAACTTCTTGGAGGAATCATCTAACTAAAGGTTGTCTTGCACGAAAGGCAACAGGTAATACTGACCGACGCTTCTCGCGCGCGGTTCGCCAACATTATCTTCGTACTTCTTACACAAGTCTTTGATACTATCGGACATTATGCTTCACACGTGAGTTAGTTTAACATCGCCATATCTATTCCTTAACCAGCGTTAAGTACCTATTCAAAATGTTTTAAATTTTAATGTATGGGTTTTATCTTGTATCTTGTATTAACTGATGTTTTTGCTTTCAGTCCCGAGACTATTAAAGCTTATCGGACGCAGAACCGGTGGGCTAGCCAGAACCCACGGGTTTGGACCCTCCGCTATGTATGGGTTTTAAAATTTATACTGAGGTTTTGTGTTAATATCGGGTGTGTTATATCTGTAATAATATGTCGATATGATTGTGACCAAAAACTGCACACATCAATATGTTTGCTCCATTTTTAACCGACTTCAAAAAAGGAGGAGGTTTCTCAATTCGACCGTATATATTTTTTTTTTTTTACGTGTGTTCGCGGATAACTTCGTCGTTTATGAGCCGATTTTGATGATTCTTTTTTTTATCAGAAAGAAGATGTCCCAAGGGTGGTACCATGATAAGAAACCCGGATCTGATGATGTCATCCCAGAGAAATCGTGGGCCATCATTGAATCCTATAGGTATATAATAATGTTTTAAATTTTTTGATTGAAGTCGGTTTTTTTTTTTTTTTTTTGTTAAAAATTATACTTTGTTTTTAATTACTCAGGAAAATATTTAAGTATTCCAATGCTATCAGTTTCAAATTACATCTTTTTTATTCTTAATTAGTCTGATAAATTTTATTGCATGAATTTCTATTTAAGTTTATAGAAATAATTATTTGTTTTTACGAATCGGTTGAACTCGGTTATTACAATTAACATTTTAAATGATTTATGTGTAATACGATGACAAGATTTTATATTAACATAGTTACTAATATGCAAAATCTAATACATGTTAGATGTGCTTTCATATATTTGCAGTTAATTTGTATATTGATTTATAATGGACTTAAACACATTTTCGTTGCTCTATCATGTTATATAAAATTATAACAGTTTTAAAACGTTTACTAAAATTTTACAATTTCATTTAGATAATCCTACAATTTACATGTATCACATGACTTCATTTCTACATTTTTGATGTATAGGTACTTGTCGGTATCTGTTACACATAACGTTAAATGACAAATATTTCAATTCTGAATTCACTTGTTGCAATTCACGAGTTTATTGATTAAAAATATTTGTACATAAAATAAAAAAAATTAGGTACGTATTGTAACGGCTTTTACCTAAATTTCACGCAGATACGGACGCAAGTGAAAGAAAATTTTCATTGAGTATCGGTTTTCTCATAAAACAATCTCAAGCTTTTTGAAGTAAATAGTCACGCAAGATAATGAATATTTTTACTACAGTTGCTTATATGAAACAATTTAATCAAGGCAAAATTCGAACAGAGAAGTTTATCAAGAAATCATAATTACCTTTACTATCTTTACACCAAAAACACAAACGCTATAAACATAGATCGTAAAAACTTCGAATCGGCACTTAAAAAAAATCCTTTAAAAATTAACTAACCCGAGTTTTAAATCACCCAATATATGAGCAGCGACCAACTGAAAATTTTTCATTAGCCGAGCCGTAAACAGACTAATCTTATCGTATTGCTATGAGTATTCTGTGTACGTAGATGTTAGATCGAGCGATAGCCGTGATAAGGCAACTCTTCAATGAATCAGAAAATTAATATAGCTCATCAGGCTAAAACGAGCCGGCAGTACGTTTTATTTGCTGGTTGCGCTTATCTGCTTTGTCTGTGTTTACACACATATAATAAAATCGCTAGTTTCTTATATTTACGCTAATACATAATTCTCAAACTGGCGATTTCGTTTTGTAATGAAATTTCTAGTTTCATATGTTTTCGCGAATACTACACATTAATTCTCAAACCAGCGATTTCGTTTGGTAATATAATCGCTAGTTTCATTAAATTTATTCAACAAATGTAGGCAGTAAAACGAATGGGTTATCTGAAGAATTCGGAACGCAATGGCGGCTTTAAATGAAACAAAGACTTATCCGCGACTGTCGTAATGTGATCATAGTGTAGTGCGAGTTATTAGTCTTTTGCTGAATGAATTAGTAGGGCATGAATATTCGTTTACCCTTAATTCAGAGGAATAACATTTTGCTTATAAATATTAAAGATAAATATTTTTGGTGACAACATTTTCACTAGACACAATTATGATACTATGGGCCCTATTAAGTTTTATTATTGTTGATTTAGTTGATTTTAATTTCACACTGGAAGTAAGCCTACAAAAACAGTGGGATGTTCCTTTGGTGCAGAGAGTACAGAAAGATATGTTTCAATCTTTAGAATAATCTTAAAGTAATTTAGAGCATGCCCGTTTCCTAGTAGCAAGCTATTCCTTGATATGTCGCTTGATTTGAAGTAAGCATAAGTTATCACGCGTGTTAAATATGTCAATAAGAAATGAGAACCATAATAAATAACGGAAACGGCGAGTAAATCATCAGTAAATCATCGTTTGCTCAGTGTCAGTAAATTATCGGAGGCTGCCGAAGTAAGTGGTTTCTATATCGTGACTCACGATTCCGCTTGTCGCTCTGTTTATATGATTTTTTTATACGTATTCATTTTATAAAGTTACTACTCTGAAATCGGTACTACGTTCAACGGAGCAAATTATAGTACGAACACAGTCCGTTGGTATTATATCTTGCTCGTTCAGTGACGAGCTGTTAACTTTCGGTACGTCACATTTCTACTATCAAATGATCACAGAAATCAGTTAAAATTAAAAAAAAAATGAAATCGTTACATTGTTGACAGTTCACTTTTTTAATTCTATCAAAAATATAGTAACTATCTTCTTCTCTATCTTTAATCTAGTAACTTTTCTCTTTGTACTGAGCTTTACTGGTAGATTGATCTATTCCTTAGCGCTTTTCAATTTACGTGTACATAATTTAATGATAGACTCGCCCATATAAAAATTATTTGGGTTAGAATGTTATATTGTTCTATAATTTATCAAATTGCTAAGTCAATACGGTTGCCTTAGCACTTTCATGTAAAGAATTACATAAACTTTATTTCTATTGTTGTTTTTAAATAATTATTTAACTTTTCAATTTTAAAATGTTTTATGTAACTTAATTCAATAATGTTAAAAAAATTGTAAACAGAGCGGAATATTTGTCTGCTGTCTAAAAAATTATGCTTGCCTGTTTCCACGGTACGGAATTAGTAAGACAGTATAACAATTGTGAGATAGAATACATACTGCACCTGACCTCATCATCGTAAAAAAATGTAGTACGACTTTAGTGTTAGTAGACCTTCCCATAAGTTCATTATCGCCGAGCACAATGAAGAATCTTTTCTCTCAGGCTGATTGTTAATTAAAAAAATTCATATAATTTCGCCTGAGAAGTTTGCACTTTATTGTTTTAATCATTTTTTTAGATCGAGGGCGGGCCAAGTTTGACATTGATGAAAGACTTTAGACTTGTTTTTTTTTATTTGATTATAAGCTTTTACTGTTATGACTTTATATTTCATGTTATTAGTTCACACGAATTGGCCTATAGGGAATGGTTACTAAGGTTTTGGCACTAAGCTTGTCAATGAATTTTATTGAAGGCTGGAGATATAATAGACTGAAATATATTTATCCATCTTCCTATTTTGTTACAGCAGTTCTTCTCCGGAAAGGTTGCGGTCAAAATATGCAAAATGTGCATTATTGAGCAGGATAAACCGAATTATTTTTATTTTTACTTTTTTATTGCGTAATTATTGCTAATAATTGACCCGGCAATAAATAATAATCTTTAGTGTACATTTCTCATCATCTCTATTTTTTATTATTTTTTTTATTTTTTTTAATGTGTAAAGTTGCCAAACGAGCAGACGGTTCACCTGATGGTAAGTGAATACCGCCGCCCGTGGACATCTGCTACACCCGAGGGTTACAGATGCGTTGACAACCATTTAAAAATTGGGCTCCGGCTACCCCACTTACCAGACGAAACGCGAAAGTATTTTTCATACTTCCACTTTACGCCTTAACTTCGATCTTAGGTCGTATCACAAATAGCCGTTATTTTCAACGTCGTAAGAAAGCGACATTGAATCTGTTGTATCGAATGTATCAGCAAATTTGAAAGTAAAAGCCATGTTTGCGTGAAACTTTTACGTATTACAATATCGATATGGTACACGTCAGACATTTGTAACGGGCCGTATGCAAGTTTTAGAAATTGACACACGGAACAAATGCTGCTCTTTTTTCAATCTTTATACAAAAAAATCTTTATTCAATATAGCATTACACTAATACTTTTTGATTGTCAAAATACGGAAAGAAAGCCACTGACCTGAAAAGAACCGGCGGAATAAACTCAGCGGGATATTTTTTAATCAGTATTAGACAAAAAAAAAAATCATGTTGACATGAACGAAACGAAAATACTATAGCCGTCCCTTTCTATTATTGACGTCAGTATGTGATACCGTGGTCGTAAACTTCGACTTCGCGAAACGTTAGGTAACGTAATGTTTCTTAAAGATGACGCAGTAATCATGCGAAAATTTGTGTGTACTTATTTGGTTATACTAACATACTTATAAACTAAATTTATGTGTGGTCCCTTAGTATCAAACAATTTCGAAACGAACAGCGCAGTCTAAGGTGCGGGATCTAGTCCACAGTATACTCAACAAGTTATGGAAGTGTGTGAGATGTAGGCGTTCTGGTATGTCGATAACTAGTATCTAGATAACGGAATATCTTCTGTATGTAGAGTTCTTAGTACCGGAATAGCTATCTGCTTACCGCTCTAAAAGTTTTCTCCTCTCAAATATAGGATACAATAAATACATCGAAATATAGATTTGTAAAATCTATCAAGGTTCATCATCTCTATGATTGTTAAAATTGTATAGAATATTACAATATTGTTTATAATTTTAACGTGTTAATCCATAACAGGTTTTAATTATTTTTATTAACAAGATATTATTTTAACTTCGTAACAAA